GGCGGGAGCGGGCCGGGCCGCGGGGGCCGAGCGAACACCGCCTCGCAGCGGGGCCGGGTCGCGGGGACTGCGGCGTCCCCCGCAATGGGGTCACATCAGAGGGGACTGCGGTGTCCCCCGCAATGGGGTCAGGTCTCGGGGGCCAGGCTGTGTCCCCTGCAATGGGGCCGGGCTGTGTCCCCCTCGCAGCAGGGCCTGACCCTGGGGTGCTGTGTTGGGTCCCCCTGCAATGGGGCGGGCGTGGGGGGCAGCACGCGGCGTCCCCCCTGCAGCAGGGCCAGGGATTGCAGGGCTGTCCTGTGTCCCCGTTGCGGCAGGACAGGGGACTGGGGTGGCCCGGCAGCGTGCCCCCCGCAGCGGGGCCGGACCCCGCTGTGCCCTGCTGCACCGGGCGGCAGAGGCCTGGGGGCTGCGGGGACCCCCGGCAGGGAGCAGGGCGCCCGTCCCGCTGCTCTGGAGCCGCCGGCTGCTCCCAGCGCTCCCCGTGACTCAGCCCAGGTGCCGGGTGGGTCCCTATCAGCCCCGGGCAGCCTCCCTGTGTGGCGATAAGGAGGCCGGGAGGCTGCGCAAAGCTGGCGCTGCCGGGGCGCGGGGAGCCCCGGAGCGGAGCCGAGCTGAGCCGAGCCGAGCTGAGCCACACACATGGGGAGCTGCGCTGGGGGAGCGCCAAGCTCTGCGTTTAAACTGAGGCCTAAATGCTGAAAGTGACGCTTGGAACCGGGCGCCGGCTCCACGGCAGCGCTGCTGCCTCTTGCCAGAGGCCTTGGGCATTGCCCTCGTTTCAAGGCCTGGCCTTAATGATCTGGAATCCAGTGTCGGAACTGGAAGCCCTGATGCTCTCTCGGGAACGGGGATGTCAGGGCTGGGCTTGCTCCCAGCTCCTGAGTTTGCTGGGTTGTGCCGGGGGCTGCGGGGAGCCGGGGCAGCTGGAGGGGACCCAGGCGGCCTCGCTCGCACCCCACAAGGCGCCTGGGTGCCGGGAAGGGGAGCTTCCCTGCGCCTGGGAACGGGAATTCTCCCGTATCCCTAATGAAAGGAGCGGAGCAGGGAGCTCTGCGGAGAAGGCTCCAAGGAGCCGCGCGGCTGCTGGCGGGGCGAGTTCCCGAGCCTTGCTTGTGGAGCAAGCTCTTCTGCCTTAGTGATTGGGAAGGGATCTGTGCGCCGGACCAGGGCGAGACTTACGTGCTGCTGGGGGAGCCTCCCTGAGCAGGACTGGTTTTCCCATTAAGAGAAGCGCTTTGCATGGGTGATGGAGCTTTTGATTCACCCCTTGGATGGGATGAGCTGGCGAGGTGCAGCTTAGCTACACATGGAAATGCAGAATAAGTTTTGTACTTCCTGGATGCTTTCTGTGCGCTTAAATAGCACATCTTTGCTTAAATAGCATTTGAGAAAACATTTCCACTTACAAGAACATGAATTAAACATGTAGAGATATTTTAGGACCATGGCAAAGGTTGGAAGCAGGAAGAAATTTTCTTCCCGTGAATAAAACTTTAGAAGTATGTGAATAATGCGGAGCCGATCCGGGGTGGGCGCCTGCGTGTGCAGACCCGGCTGCTCCGGGCGCTCCGTCCCGCAGGGAAGCTCCCTGCCAGGGCCCGCGCCGGTAGCAGTTGCTCTTTTCCCATCAGGAATGACGAGGGTTTGTGTGTTTGTGTTTTTTGCTCTCTCTCGAAGGGCCTTTCCTGCTCCGTAGGATCGCTTGGCAGGTAGGGACGCGTCCGTGTCCCGCGGCGTGTCCCGTGTGTCCCGCGGCGTGTCCCCGCCGCGCTCGCCCTGCTCAGTCCCCTTTGTTGCACGCTCCCCTCCCTGGCTCCCATCCGCTGCAGGCTGCTGAGCGGAGCTTGGCGGAGGGGAAGGATGGGTCTGGGCAGGGTGCGGGGGGCCTGGGGGCCGCCCCGTCCCCTGCCTGGCGTTGGGGGCGGTTGGGCACGTGCCGGTGCGCGGTGCGAGCGGGGTTGCAGCACGAGGGCTGCTGTCCACGAGGCAGCCCGTGTCCGAGGTGGCGGCAGATGGAGAGGGGCGAGCGGGTCCTCGCGAGCCGGGTGATCCCGCCCTTGGGTGGGAGCCGAGCCCTGCGCTGCTGCTGGGAGGTGGAACAACCGCGCGGAGCGATGCAGGCGCCTCCACCTGCGTGCACGGGCCTTGGGTGCTCTGTACAAATCTGGTTTGTGGAGACATCTTCCTGTGCCTGGACACGGGCCTGGGCTGCAGGACTTTGGCTCTTCTGCTTTCTTGCCCCCCTTTTTTTACGACAGACCCTCCTGTTGCCTGGTTGTTTCTCCAAGGACTTTGTATCTGGGAGCTGGACACTGTGACGGAAAAGTAGGGCCAGGGTTATTTGCATCTCAAATCAGATCTGCTTCTTGGATCTGATTAAACATTTAACCCAAAGTAAACAGCAAAGTGCTGCTGCTGCACCAGGGTAACCCATTAACAGGGACCTCCTGCCCCACAGGGAACCTCGCTCCCGTCCGTGGCCGGTGCCGCCTCCCCGGCTAGTGACCCAGGTCCTCGGGCACTGCCGCTCTCTGTCCCCCCGTTACCGTTTGTTTGTACCTTGGCGTTTCAGGCGTTTCTCCTCTTGCGCGCGAGCGAAGGCGCCGTCGCGGGTGCCCTTGCCCCGTGTCCCCTCCGTGCTCCGCTCTCCTCCCCGGCAACCCTGCCCTGGGGCACGTCGCGTCGCGTGGCGGCCGCGGGGCTGCTTCCCGGCGGGAACGCCGCTCTGTGCCCGCTGACACGCCGCTCTCTGCGTGCCCAGGTGCGGCGCGGCCGCGAGCGCTCGTCCTGCCCGCCCAGCGCCAGTGCAGGGCGGCCGGGACGGCCCCGCCAGCCAACATGAAGGTGGAGCTGCTGCCCGCGCTCACTGACAACTACATGTACCTGCTCATCGACGAGGAGACCCGGGAGGCTGCCATCGTGGACCCCGTGCAGCCCCAGAAGGTAACGCGCGCCCCACGCGCCAGCCAGGCGCCCGCCTGCCCCACGCTCGTGCTGCCCATAGCGGAGGACAAGGCTGTGCCCCCTGCTTGGGGTCGAGCTCCCCGCATAACCCCGGGGAGCAGCAGGCTCCTGTTGAGGCCCTTTGGTGAGCGGTGCTGCTCTCTGTGCCTGCAGGTCTTGGATGCGGTCAAGAAGCACGGCGTGAAGCTGACCACCGTCCTGACCACGCACCATCACTGGTAACCCCTTTGCTGCAGGGACAGCCCTTCTTCCTCTGGATAAACATGGATGAATGAGAGCCGAGCACATCCGGAGCGGGATGCAGCTTAGGAAGTGTCTCCTGGGCTGTCCCGTGCCCAGGGAGGCTCAGCTGAGCGCGTGGCTCCTGGGCGGTCGCGGCAGGTCTGCGTTTGGGATGTAGCATCCCCTTCCTTCGAGGAGTGTGCCGGCTCCATGTGTCCCATCCGTTGGGAAGGGCCCCCCTGGAAGCTGGGGCCGCCAGCAGATGTGGAAGGGCTGAGGAGGGAGCCCGTTTGCCCTGGACCTCCAGGCCGTGCGGGCAGTGGGCGCTGAGCACCGTCCTGCGGCGGGGACTGCCTGCGTTGTCCCCGGCTCGCTCTGTGTGCAGACACCAGGAGACGAGCTGGTCACAAACGATCCCCCTGCTGCAATCTGAGCTGCAAGAAACCTGTTTTCACGCCAAATCTCTCTTTTTAACCTTGCAGGGACCATGCTGGAGGAAATGAAAAGCTCGTGAAGATGGAGTCGGGGCTGCGTGTGTACGGGGGCGACAGCCGCGTGGGCGCGCTCACGCAGAAGGTGTCACACCTGACATCCCTCAAGGTAAAGGGCTGAGCTGCCGGCCTCATCCCCGGCATCTTCCCCAGGGCAGCTCGGCTCGGGTCGCTGTTGTGGTTGTGGCTATTCTACCTTCTTAAGGTCTCTTGGAAGCAGCCAGTGGTTTAACTGCAGCTTTGGGGCTGTCTCAGCGCTCTGAACTGCAGCCCCACTGCCCTTCTGGCTGCAGATGCTTTGCTGGGAGCTGCCCTGGCTCCTGCCCCTGCGTTGTCCCTGGGGTGCAGCTGCAGTGCTCGGAGCGGAGGTGCAAAGCAGCCGAGCTCGTGCTCTGCTCCGAGCCTGCTGAAAACTGCAGGCATTTTTGCAGCGATCCTGGGAATCCAGGGCAGAGAGCAGCCGAGCCAGCAGTGAGAGCTGCTTGCATTGATTTGTGCAGAACTAGAGCAGCCAGCCGTGTTGGAACGTGGCGCTTTACTTACCCCTGGGCTGGCAGATGACACAAGCTGTTGTGAAACGTGCTGGGTGACGCGCGAGTCCCTGCAAGTGCAGCAGTGACCTTGGTGGGGACAGCAGCACAGGCAGCAGCACGTTAGACCTGGGGGGAAGGAGCCCTTCGTGCACAGCCCCCTCCTGCAACCGAGAGCCCCCTGCTTCTGCCCTTGTGCTTTGTTTTTGTTTGGAGCTTTCTGCACTCCATTAACTGCGAGCAGGGCTTTGTGCTGCCCTGGATCTGTTTGCGCTTGCTGTCAGCCCGCCGCTGAGTCACTCTGCATGTAAATGAAAGACTCAGCAGTTCTCTTTGCACCAGCACCTGCCAGGAGGAAGCGGCTCCTTTCCAAGTCCTTCCTGTAAAACTCTCTTGCTGGCCTCTCCAGGGAGCTGGGATTTACTGGCCAGCTCTGTGAGGATTTGCCCGTAGGGCTGCTAGACAGTTGTGATAGTGGCGGTTCTTTTCTAATCATATAAATGCTGGCAAACAGCAGCTTCAGCTCGAGTCTTCTGCCTTCTTCTCAGGTGGGATCTCTTAATGTGAAATGCCTCTGTACTCCATGTCACACTTCTGGACACATCTGTTATTATGTGACTAAGCCAAATAGCTCCGAGCCACCTGCAGTTTTTACAGGTGAGGAGTTGGGAGGTTACCTGGCCTGCAGCCTGTGTCCCGGAGAAACAGGCTGTCCCCCTGCTTGGCTGTATTTGTTCCAGTTAACACTGGAGCTGACTGACTTCCTCACCTGCCCCCCTAGCAACAGCTACCAAGTAGTAATTGCAGCTAAGCCTAGTGAAACCTCTCGGGGTTAGTAAAGGCATTGCTGGATACCCAGCAAGCAACGTTCAGAAAAGAGCCCTGGAGGAGTCTCTCTTTTTACCACTTTCTTCTCTGAATGAAAAGCCGTGGGGTTTTTTGTTGGTTTGGTTTGGTTTTGGGATTTTTTGGACATCCCTCACCCACCCCCTACCCAACTGTGTCTTGATTCCATTGAGTGTTTGCTTTTCCATAGACCTGTAGCTGTGTCTGTAGCAGGACTGCAAGAACAGAAAAAGCACAGGACAGGACAGGGGGTTAGGGAGCACTGGGAAGAAAACGCCAAGGAAGCTGGAAGTGCGCAGGTGCCTTCATCTTTGTACAAGCTGATAGCAAAGAGAAACGGTGCTAGAAGGGAGAGCAAGGACGATTGCCTCTTGGCTAGGCTTTTTTTGCCTGTGCAGGCCGAGGGATTTTCGGTATTACAAGTTAAAGACGGATTATTGAGGCGTTTGTCACGTGGGCGAGCGCCGGCTGAGCCCTGGGCTGGGTGTGCGGTGCCCCCGGCCGCGCAGGGCAGGGCAGGGCAGGACGGATCCCGCGGGAACGTGCGCTCGGCTGCGGCCGGCGGGCGCTCACGGCCGCTCTGCTTCGCCCCCAGGTGACACGCTCTTCGTGGCCGGCTGCGGCAAGTTCTTCGAGGGAACCCCGGAGGAGATGTACAGAGCCCTGATTGAGGTCTTGGGCACCTTGGCACCTGAAACGGTACGAAGCCGCCCTTCGCGCCAGTGGGGCAGCAGCTAAAACATGTCACAGACAAGCAGAAACTCTCTCCCTAATAATATATGTTAGAATTTCCCACATTTGGAAGAAATGAATGCCTCCACCAAGGGCTGTCCCTGCTGCAGAAGAACTGGAGCCCTTGGAGAAGGGAATACGCCTACCCCAAATCCATTTGGGCTCTGTGGGGGAGAGCAGAGAGTATTTGTTGAATGAAAGACTAGAGAGCAGAGGGTATTTGTTAAAGCAAAGACTAGAGAGAGCTGGGATACCTGGGTTCTTTTGCCACCAAATTGGCCCGCAGTGTCTGGCTGGTCGCACCCTGTGTGTCTCCCATGGACAGAGCCGTGTCCCGCAGGGTGATTCTGCTCCCGTTCTTCACCGTGACACTGGTGTCAGCGCCCAGCGCTGCTCTTCCTTGGAGCCCTATCTAACTTTTCAGTTCTCTTCCCAGAGAGTTTACTGCGGTCACGAATACACCATCAACAATCTCAAATTTGCACGACATGTTGAGCCCGATAATGTCGCTATCCGAGACAAGCTTGCATGGGCCAAGGTGAGTTGGTTGGTGCTTTCTCTGGACTTGCTGGATGTCCCTGTGGCTGGAGAGCCTCTTTGGCAAAGCAGAGGAGAGGGGACAGTGTGAGAGAGGCAGAGGGAAGGGAGTGACAGGAGCCAGAAGCAGCAGCTTGTGCTGTTGGGCTGCAGTGTGTCTGGGAGCAGCGTTTGTCCCAGGCTTGCTATCCCAGGCGGATACAGCCGCCTTTGGGAGCTGTATCTCCATCTGCAACAGGCCACGCTTCACGGCCAGGGCGCTGCTTGTTCCCCAGAACATCCCTCATCGAGCAGAAACCTCTCCCCTTGTTGTAGGCCAAATACGACAGCGGGGAGCCGACCATACCCTCCACGATCGCGGAGGAGTTCACCTACAACCCCTTCATGCGAGTGAGGTGCGTGGGAGCGAGCCCTCCGTGTCCTGCTGTGGGGACGGGGGTTGGAGGAGGTCCCCAAGGAACGAGCCAGGAGAGTGACCTGCTCTCTGACATTGCCTTTGTCCTTCGAACATGCACGTTCCAAGAGGTGATGTGGCAAAGCGTGCTCGCTGGGCCGGCAGGGAGCTGTGGCACGAGGGTTTGCAGGGCTGCGCTGGGCACCCGGGCCGGGTCCCTGGCTCCTGTCGCAGCAGGTTCTGCTCCTGGTCCTGTCGGGCTTGGCAGAGAGGGCACAAAAAGGTGCTGTTCAAAGCAGAGTGTTTGCAGCTTCTGTTGCCCAGGAGAGTTTAAATCAAGGGAAATCTGTGGCAGAATGGCAAAGCCCAGGTCCTTGGTTTGAAATGCAGAATCTCCCCTTGCTGCAGGTGAAAGGCAATAGCAGTGACTTTGCCTACCAGACGTTTATCTTGCAGCCTGTGTATTTACTGTCCCCGGTGTTCCCTTTGGGCAGGGAGAAGACAGTTCAGCAGCACGTCGGGGAGACCGATCCCATCCGAACCATGGGAGCCATCAGGAAAGAGAAGGATAACTTCCGTGTCCCCAAGGACTGAGCGCTCTGCCTCAATCACTTTAATGTCAGCTCAATTGTAAGCTAGGCTATTCAGATGTTTTAGGAGTTAAGCATTCTGTTGTGATTAGGACAGCCATATTTAGGTTTTTATTTTATTTTAATTAAGGAAAAAAAGCACTTTGCCCTTGTTGAGATGTTCTACAGCATATTTATATGATGAAGAATATTTATCCCTCTATATATCCCTCTCAACCTGTCACATGTCACAGACATCAGATCATTTTGCAAGTGTCGGTATGTGGCTCGGAAGCCAGGGTAGGGAAGAGTCAAATCTTGAAGTCTAAGGGAAAAAAAAGCTTGTTATTTTTGTAGGAGCCTGCTGTGAATGTGGGCAGTGGGACTAGAGCCCAGGATGTCTTCATTTAAAATAGACAAAATGCACATAACTTCAATCGCCAGCTGAAGATTTAAATTTCTCTCTGCTGCTAATTCAACTTTCCTGTCACTGTTGTCTTCACTAGAGCCGCTTGCCGGTGACAGATCTGCTCTGCGCTGCCACCAGTTTGGGCCTTAGTCTCTTAGTCTCTAGCCATGCTGTGCGGCCTGTGGCATGGCAGGGCTGTCCGGCTGTTCCCCAGGGCTTTTCGCTTCCCTCTGGCTCTCCTCATATCCGCAGTGGCTTTTCCAGGCCCACGCTGCCCTAGGGATTGCGCTGTCGCTCGGCCCCGTTCACCGCTAACTTGGCCTGTTGCATGAAGCTGCTGCCTGCGCCCGATCGTGCCGCGCTGCTGCTGCCGTTGGCCCCGCGAGGCTGAAGGAGGGATTCGGTGTGCGAGGCGCTGCCGCCCGGCCCTCGCGGACAGACACGCATCCCGAGCCGCGTGGAGGACGCTCTGGATACAGCGGGAGCGTGCGGCGTGCGGGCCGGGATCCACCAGGAGCTGCTGCTGGGAGCTGCTGCCATCAGCCCCTGCCCTGCAGCCTGCTCTGCTGCAGCTCCTGCTCGGAAAGAGCAGGGTATGGATGCAGAGGTTGTCCGTAGATTGCCAAAGCAATCTAGATGTCAGACGGCCGAGCCCCCGTCCTGGCGCAGCACGTTCCAGTTCCAGCTCTGCCCAGGGGCTGTGTCCGTGTGTCCGGAGCGGGCGGCCGCGCTGGGGACTGCGAGGAGGCTGCGGCCCCGGGAGCAGCGCGGGAGTGGGGTGAGTGGGGTCCTCTCCTCTGGGAAGAGCAGCTCTCGGAGAGGACCCCGTTTATCTCCTTGCGGTGGCTGAGATGCTTCTTCCTGGTTGTGGAATAAACCCTGTTGAGACCAAAGAGGCTTGAAGAGAGGCTGCTTTTGTGCTCGCCACATGGGAATATTTGTGGGATACCCAGTGCTTGAACATCGCTCTGCAGCCCAGGAGCTCAGGAATGGGAGTTTGCCTCTGAATTTTCACGTTGTGCCATGAAGCTGAGTGTACAATGGAGGCCGGGACAGAATCCAGGAAGCCTCCCATATCCTATGGAAAAGGCCCTTCCAGGGTACCTGCCACTTCTGAGCTCTCCAGTATCCCGACGCCCAGGCCTGGGTGTGTTTGAGACACGTCTCCCCTGGCCTTTCCATCCTGGAGTCTTCGAATCCCTGAGCGAGGGCAGGAAGATGGGGAGGAGGCGGGAGGAAGGGACCCGCTGCAGGAAGGATCTCCCTGCTCCTGTGTCCGGAGCAGCCGGAGCGCCCGGAGCCAGGTTGGGTGCTGGGGCAAGCAGGGAGGGTCTCCGGGATATTCTAAAATTGGGACATTTTAAAACTTTCTGCTGGTAAAACCCTTGTGAACCCCTCGGAGGGGGCCGGGTGGCGAGGGGTGAACGCAGCTGGTCGGACACAGCCCTCAAGGGGCTCGACATCGCGGTCCCTCCCGAATTTTACCCTCTTTCTCCTTGCTTCTTGATCTCAGCTGTGTGCTGCAGTCTGCTCAATTGCAAGATTTGTAAATTTTTTTTTGCATAATTGTTTCATAGTTGAAACTAAGCACGGGAAGACTTGAGGGATTTTGATTCCAGCTTCGGCCCCTGTCCGCGGGTGAGTGTCGCGGCGCTGGAGCTCGTAGCTCTGCTGCCCGCAGTGGCCCTGGTGCTGAAGCAGCCACTACAGGGGGACGCGGGCAGCGCTTGGGCTCATGCCTTCTTCTTTTGCTTTAAATGGGTAAATATTTCGAAATATTTACCTTTGAAAAGGTAAATATTTCTACCTTTTTAGGTCAGAAAGAAAAGAGGTGCTTCACTGGCCCTTTGATCATGGGAGTGCTGCGCTGCTGCAATGAAGCATAACTTCCCTGGTGTCGGTTTAGGCATCTGAGGGAATAAACCAGCTGCCAGCAGCATCAATGTGGCAGTCTGGAAAAGGCAGATTTTATGTATATATATTTTTAGCTAGTGATTATATTTGGTAAGCAGCTGTAGGCAGCTTTCCCCCTAATGGTGGGGCCACTTTGGGAACCTCTGAGGCTTTGTGCAAAGACTGTTCTCGTTAAAACTTGGGTTTTATTTATTTTCCCTCTAAAAGAGGAAGGCGTCTCCGGCACCTCTCGTGCTGGGCCCCGGTCTCTGGCACCTCTCCCATCCTGGATGCTGGGAGAGCTGCAGGCAGCGGCTGCAGGGCCGGGAGTTCTGCATGGAGCTGCCAGGGAGGCGGCCCTGGAAAGGGGGGTCCGTGTGACACGGGAAGAGCTCGATCCCTGTTTATCCCTCCCCGCAGTGGGATCGGGGGAGGGTTTCCTCCGTGCAGTGGGAGCCGCATTGCACCGGCCGCTGGGCACGGATCCTGCCTCTGCAGCGGGAACCGGAGCAGGATTTTCCCTTCGAGCAGCGGGGCTGCCTTGCACTGCTTGGAGGGTGAGGGTTTGTCCCGGTGCAGCGGGAGCCGCATTGCACCAGGAGCGGGGCAGGACTTGCCCCCGTGCAGCGGGAGCCGCGTTGCACCGGGAAGAGGATTCCCGTCCCCACCGGGGCACCGGGACCGGGATCCACCCCCCGCCGCCGCGCAGCGGGAGCCGCGTTGCACCGGGAGGAGGGTGCCCCGTGCACCGGGAGGAGGGTCCCTCGGAGCAGGGCGAGCCGGTGGCACCGGGTGCAGGATCCGCCCCGCAGCGGCGCGGGCTCCTCCCGGCGCGGCGGCGCCTCCCGCCCCGCCCCGCTCCGCAGCCGCCCCGGCCCGGCCCGCGCTACCTGTTCCCAGCGCCGCCCGCGGAGCAGCGCGGCTCTCCCGGGCACACAGGGCGGCCACGAGGCCGAGGAGCAGCAGCAGCAGGCGGTGCCCGGGGGCAGACGCCCCCCGCRCTCGCGCCATGCTGCCCGTCTCGAGCGGGCACCGCTCCGCTCCGCACGGCACCGCTCGTCTGCGCTCCGCACCGCTCCGCCGAGGCAGCGCTCGAAGCACCCGCCGAGGCAGCGCAGCAGCAGTCANGCTCCGCGCCGGGCGCGCACCCGCCGCGGGCAGCGGCCTCGCGCGGAGCGGGGCGGCCGCAGCATGAAGGTGAAGGTGATCCCGGTGCTGGAGGACAACTACATGTACCTGCTCATCGAGGAGCGCTCGCGCGACGCCGTGGCCGTGGACGCCGCCGTGCCCAAGCGGGTGGGTGCGCGGTGCCCGCCGGCGCCACGGGGCTGCACCGCGGCCCGGGCACCTCCGCAGCGCGGAGCTCAGCCCTAAGCAAGAGGCCTGCGCGCCCTGCAGCCCGATGGGGAGCGGGTGCTGGTCGGGGTTGGCATCACTGGGGGTCATGGCGCATCCCTCGGGGTTCGCACTGTTGGAGTTGGCTTTGCTTGGGGTGAGCTCTGCTCTGGTTGACATCGCTTGGGCTTGGAGTCGCTCTGCGGTTGGCATCACCGGCGGCCAGCATCGCCCTGGGGTGGGCATTGCTCTGGGTGGCATTGCGTTGGCGTTGCGTGGGGTCGGCAGCGCTTGGGTCAGCCTTGATCTGGGGTCGCCATCGCTCAGGATACGTGTCACTTGGCATTGGCATCACTCGTGTTGGTGTTGCTTGTGCTCGGTATCGCCTGGGGGGACATCGCTCATGCTGGCATCGCTCGGGGGCATCGCGCTGCCCCCGCTGACGCCCCTGCCCCTCGCAGCTCCTGGACATCGTGCGCAGGGAGGCGGTGGAGCTGCGCGCCCTGCTGACCACCCACCACCACTGGTGAGCGCGGCCGCGCGTGTCCCCCCGCCACCCCACATGTGCCCCTGCCACCCCGCTGCCACCCCGCTGCTGCCCCCATGCAGGGACCACGCCAGGGGCAACGAGGAGCTGGCCAGACTCTGCCCCGGCCTGCGTGTGTTCGGCGCTGATGAGCGCATCGGCGGCCTCACGCACCCGGTGACGCACGGCCAGGAGCTGGCGGTGCGTGGGGGACGGGGACATCGGCCGCGCTCCCACGGGGACGGCGGCCGCGCTCCGCGCCCCGCGCCCGGCCCTCACCCTCCTCTCCAGTTCGGGAGCATCCGCGTGCGCTGCCTCCGGACGCCCGGCCACACGTCGGGCCACGTCTGCTACTTCGCGTGGGAGGACGAGTCGCCGGACGCGCCGGCTCTGTTCTCGGGTAGGCGGCCCGCCCCGGCGCCGCGGTGTGCTGCTGCCGCCATTGCCGCCGTGCCACGGGCGCCGCGCTCCCCGCAGGCGACGCGCTGCTCGTGGGCGGCTGCGGGCGGCTCTGCGAGGGCTCCGCCGAGCAGATGCTCAGCAGCCTCACGGGCGTCCTGCCCGCGCTGCCCAGGGACACGGTGAGTGCCAGCGGGAACGGGAGCGGGAATGGGATTGGGAAGGGGAGCGAGGCCTGCCGCCTCCCGCCCGGCCCCGCAGAAGGTTTTCTGCGGCCACGAGTGCACCGTGCGCAACCTCAAGTTCGCCCTCAAAGTGGAGCCCGACAACGAGGCGGCGAAGCAGAAGCTGGCGTGGGCCAAGGTGAGCGGCAGCGCCGGCGCCCGCGCCGCCCCGCGCCTCCCGCCTCACGGGCCGTGTCGCGGCAGCGCCGGGACGACGACGACGTGCCCACGGTGCCCTCCACGCTGCACGAGGAGTTCCTCTACAACCCCTTCCTGCGCCTCACGTAAGCGCCGTCCCTGCTCCTCCGTCGGGGCCCGCGGGGGTGGCGCGTGCCCGGCGCCCTGCCCGCGCTCTCCCTCACAGCGAGGAGCCCGTGCAGAGGTTCACGGGCCACACGGAGCCGCTGGAGGTGCTGAGGAGCCTGCGCGCCGAGCACGAGAGCTTCAGGAGGGCCAAGGAGCGGCCGCCGCCGCAGGCCACGCTCGCGCTGCAGTGGGGGCTCTTCGGGCCCTTGCTGGAGAAGAAGTGAGCGCGGGGCGGCTGCTGCCGCCAGGATCCGGCCTCAGCCGGGTCCCCTGAGGCTCCCGCCTTGCCCTGGGGAGCGGTTTCCGTCCTGAACGCGCTCGCGTGGCTCCTGCTCGGCGCTGCTCCCTTCCCTCCCTCGGGGTCGGGCCCCTGGCTGCGGAGCGGGACAAGGGCAGGGAGGCCCGAGGGGAGCCCCGCGCCCCCGTCCCCGCGTCGGGCGGGTTGGGGGGCCCCTCTGCTCTCTCTTTCAGCAGGACAAAAGGAAGCCTGGCACGAGGGGCCCGCTCGCTCCGGAGGGGAGCCGCCCGCTCGGGCCTCGCAGGAGCTCGGGCCTGCGCGCCGGGGCCGCCCGCCGGCTGCGCTCGGAGACGACGACGCTGTGCGGGGCCATGCGGGGACGGGGACCCGCGCGGGGCCACCCGCCCGCTGCGCTGGAGACGCTGCCGCTCCCTAACCCTAATCCTTAACCTAACCTTTAACCCTAACCTTTAACCCTAACCCTAACCCTAACTGTGGGGCCGCGCGGCGGACGGGGACCTGCGCGGCGTCGGCAGCATCGCGGCGCTGCCCGCCCGCTGCCCGTCCGCCTGTGAGCGCAGCGGCGGAACGGCAGTAGGAGAGCGCTCAGGGTGACCCTTCATTTACCTGGCCTGGCGTTTAGAATAAAGGACCAGGAGCAGCGCGGCGCTTACGCCGCTGCGGCCTGCAAGGGTCGGGGCCGGGTTTGTGCCGTGTCAGTGCTCTTTTTCCTTGCGTTGGAAGAACGTGCGGGAGGTTTGTTTGCAAGCGGTGTGGGGGGTTGTTACATAACTGAACATTGCAAATCATTTTGGGGGCAGAAAAGATGGGAGCTTGTCGGTGCCTCTGTAAACAGTCCAAAATCCCTCTGATGGGTAACTGTAGAGCAGGGCCGTGCGAGGCGCCAGGTCTCCCCTTTACACCAGTGTGCAAAGCAGGAGTGGATCGCAGCGGTGCTGCTGAGCTCGCACCCACTTTGTGCTGCAGGGATGAAAACACAGCGGCAATGCAAGGACCCGCGCCACTGCCAGCACTGCAGTGGTGCTGACGGCAGGATACTGCACGTGTGCATGGAGCTAAATGAATCTTTACCACAAACGCCTGCTTTATGGCCGTTTTTCCCTTATTAGAAACCAGACAATGTTTTTTCTGTCTTGTGTTGTAATTTACTGTCAAGGAGGGGGGTGGCTCCTGCTGCCCGCAGTGCCTCGCTTGTAGCTGCTCTGCTTGTGCACCCTGCGCGGTTGTAGCGCGGCTGTGCTCCTCGGCTGTAGCCTGGCACTGTACGTGGCAAGGTGTGCATGGAGAAGGGCGCTGGGCGAAGCGACCGCCCTGCTTGTAAGCAGGGAGTGCGGGGGGATCAGCGCGAGCCTCCTGCCTTGTGAACACTGTGAATTCACTGATGAGCAGGCAGCGCCCGGAACCACAGAACGCTTTTAATTAAAACATTAAACGCCATCGTGGGTGATCTGTGGCAGGAGGGGTGAGGCCGCGGTGCCGGGCTGGCAGCGGCGCCGCTCCGAGGCAGGTCAAGGTCCGCGCTCAAGGTCCAGGTGCTGTTACCCGTGCGGAGCAGCGGAGCGAGGCTGGGCGCAGCCGGCGGCGCCTTCGCGCTCGGGTCTCGCTCTGTCGCGGGGCTTTCTCCATCGGCCTTGCTCCAAGAAAGGGCAGTCGCGGGGCAGGAGCGACGTCGAGAACGTGCGCTGAGCGCCGGCAGCTCCGCCTGGGGCCACCCCTGCCCCTGGGATCAGCTACAGCCCCCGCTTCTCCCACCCTCAGCTCCCCCCAAATTCACTGGCACCTCAGGAAAAAAAATCAAAGACCAAATTCATCCTTTAATAGTTCTCAAAATACCCATATATAAAATATACACAGCAAGACAAGCACATTTCGTCTCCCATAACAACAACAAAATCCACCTGTTTCACGTTCAGCAGGCTCTGGGCAAGGCTTCTTGGTAGACAGCGCTAAACCAGACTATTTTCACTAACCCCTTTGATTGTTCTCACAAAATATTTTTTTTTTGCAATGATTAAATCTCACCGCCCTCTTACTCTGTTAACCTCTGTAAAGTAACAGCTTTCAGAGACATCAGGCATGGTTCGTCCTGGAAAAAATGGTAATGAATCTTTACTTGACATGCTGTAAAAATTGCTTTCTCTGAATTTAGGGATATTATTCACCAGTAAACTACTGGTGAGGCAGGGGTAGATGTGCCAGTTCTGTGACTCTGTACTATGTATTCAGAGAGGGAGAGATTTATATTTGCCAATAGTTATAGATGATTATTATAATTTTAAAAATTTTGGATTTTTGTTCTTGAACATTCAGTCAGGTCACACTTTGGTAAGTACGAAAAAAAAGATCTCAAGGTCTAATTAGACCATTTCTAATTAAATGAGGATGTCCAAAAAAGAGACAACCATACTTATACATAATACTGAGTGCTGTGAAAATACAGCAAGGGCTGGACTAGCAATCCTCTCATGCAGCACAACGCTCATCTCAGTGCAGTCAGTCTCCTGCAAGGCAAATCCTTCAGTGCCTAAAATTCAGCAGTTCTGATAGAAGATGGGGAGGCTGGATGGGGAGGGCAGGGTTGGTTCACAGAGTGTCTGCACAGTGGGAAGCATTCCCGCTTCTTTTAATAGGTATTTTAAGTCAGTGCTTTTTATTCTCTTCATTTCAGTAACTATAAAGCTGCAGGAATTAACATCACCTGCTTGTGTGCACAATACCTTCTCATCACTAATGCTAGTCACAGACTGCAGTTTCCCAGGGATGACACAACTTCCACTGTCTTTTGAGAATCTTAAATACAACAGATTTCTTAAATACAACAGATTTTAAAAGGCACCGAGTATCTCTGTAGGGAATTTTCACAGATTTGCTGCCGGGGTCATTCTTCACCATTTGATATTAAACCCAGTGCTCGTTTTCTCCACTGCATGGTACTGCGTGTGCAAAGCTCTCAGAGCCCGTGCCGAGCCCGGGCCGCCCAGCCACTGCTCGTACAGCTCATCCACTCGCTGATTCTCCTCTGGAGCTTCAGTCCTGAGAGACTCGTAGAGCTTCTCAACCTGCTGGAGCCAGTCCTTGCTGGCTTCGCCTTCCACTCTGATCTGGCCGCCTCCATTCAGACAGCCTACGCGCAGCCAAGTAAGAAAACATCAATGGGGTTAGAAATAACTTCAGCTTTATTAGGAAAAATACTAGTTAAGACAGCTAAATCCAAAAGTTAGAAACTGTTTAAGATAGTTAAGAGAAACGACTAATTGTGTTTTCCTGGTGCATGACAGCTGCAGTAGCCTTTAAGAGAAGGTTATTGGCCTGCTGTGACTCACCATAATTCAATATATGGCCCAGGTGTGAGTGCACAGCTGCCAGGCCCTGCCTGGAAAGCACCAGGGTGATATAAGACAAGGAGGAAGCAAGCAGGCAATTGTGGTTCCTGTTTGGTCCCTCTAGAGAGGGCTAGGTTGTAATTTAGCCAAGAGCAGCCCTGGTGCCTCAACTGAAGGTAAGATAAATGGTCCTGGGAGACAGTTCAGGCTTTGTTGTTCTGATGCAGATGTGATGAAGGGGTCAGGCTGTGCAATGTGCAATTGCTCCCACTGGACTGTTCTTGGCATTGAACAGCTTTGTGTGTTGAAAGTTGTACAGATCCCCAAGGAAAGAATTCCTGAGAGAGTGAGAAGGGCAGCTTGGTTTTCCTGCATGCCTCTCTATCACAAGCTACCTTGGGCCGAAATATGAATTGAGCTGCCCAAGCTTTCTAGAGTAGATTTGAAAAGATCTAGAAGAGAGAGGAGGAAAAAAAAGCCTTGCAGGAAGAATAAAATAAACAGAAAAAGATTTTTTTTTTACCAATTGCAGCAGACAGTCTCTAGGAGCATAGTACTAACTTCTGTAAACTGTTTACAAAGTTAAGAGGGCCTCCTTAGAAGCATTAGTTGCACCAGTTTTAAGATTTTTTTAAACTCTTTTCACTTACATTGTGAAGAATTACTAGCTTCTAGATAAAACCAATATACAGGCAAACAACTTCTTCAATGCAGTAGTCACCATATCTTAAAGGTTTGAAGGCTTAGCCATAATATTCATTTGCCGTTCTCACATTTGCCATGTGAGAAGCTGCCTGTGTTTCTTGCACTTTAGTGACAGTTCCATATGGCTTCCTGCAGCTATGGACTCTTACATGGCCTTACCTGACGGGCAAGCCATGACTTCAACGTAGTGGTAAGGGGATTTTCCTCGTTTCAACTTTTGCACTAAGTTTTGTATGTTTCGAAATCCATACGCCAAAGCAAACTGGAGCAGGACCACTCCATCCTTCTCCAGCGTCACCTCCTGGAAGTCCTTGTTTCTGAGGAACAAGAGCAAACAAAATGTCTTATCTAAATTAACTTCTACTAAACTTAAGAAAAATACTGTGCTGAAACTAAGCTCTTTACTAAGTCCTAGTCAAGAAGAGTGTCTTAATTCTTTGCCCGGTGAAGAAGTCAGACAAAAGAACTTGCTTGTAAAGATTTAGTTGCATTAGGAGCTACAATCCTTTTCAGATCTTGTTTGAGCACCTTCCATTCAAATTGAGCTTCTTGAAGAATGCCTCCTGTTTGCTTAGACTTTAAGGATTTCTTCAGAGCTCAAACACACAGTCTCATTGCAATGAGCTCTCTGGGTTGTCTGGCTGGCTTCAGTCAACTTTGCCTATCAGTGAGGCTTTTCAAAGAAACTTTTTAAATCATAGCTGGTCATAACCCCAACGAGGGAGTAATCCAGTATTGAAGGCTTTCCAATATCAGTAGAAATAGTTCTTCCTGATAAGAGAACCAGCAATTTGTTGTGTGTGGGGGTGTTTTCTTTTGCTTTCTTTCATTTTCACTAATTTAGGTATCTTGTCTTCAGACTGCTGGGGACTATTTCTATCTCCTAGACCAGAAAATCCTAACGATCAATATCACTGATTAGGCATATAATTCATTATAAAAAAAAGTATATTAAAGTTACACCTAGGAAGCTAGGGGGAATCTCAGTTTAAATGAGCTTCTTATGTCCAAGTTCAAGTGACTGTTTTGTCTTACTGCAATATGATTAAATTGGAACCTTAAAGTCCTGACACCTGGTTTTCTGTGAGTTAGATTAGTAATGGATCCACTTCAGTGACCTGATGACGGGTGAGAGAACTCAAATCCATGAGCTTGATCTTCTGAATTATTCGAGAAACTGTTTGCAGCTTAATACTGGGAAAATTCACCAGGCCAAAATAAAGTGTGTGGGTGGTGAAGGGGCTAGAAGTCTCTGAGGGAAAAGGGTGCACAAAGTGCTGGCTGATTTATTGCTCAGCAACTGTGGGAGTGAGACGCCAATTCCCAAGCCTTGAAGTAAAATGTTTAACGCTATATCGAAATTTTCAGCCATCAGCAAGATAAGAGCATAAACAGAATTGCAATATAAATGGTGCTTTATGCAAGACTCTAACTTACTTTAAAGGTTTGTACTGAATTGTATCCACTTGAATTCCAAAGAGTTCCTTTGCTGCGTACTTGTATATGTGCTCCAAATACCCACCAGAACCACCTCCCGAATGGCTAGTGAGCTCCTCTTCCCGAATGCAGCTAAACCTGAGGGGAGGAGAGAAAGAAGCTGTTTGGAGACCCTTCTGTACAACAGCCAGCAGCAGGTCTATTGTTCTTTGAAGCAAATAAGTTTGATTAGATGGATGCTGAAATACCTCTAGTACTACTAAGAACATTATGGTGTACCCTGTGAGGTTTCAGAGAGTGAACTTGTTACAGAAGTGCATGGAATTCAAAAGCAACCGCACAAGCAATAGATTAGTTCCCTTAGAACTCCCAGCCTTTCCCCTTCTCCTGGGAACTGACTATTTATAGCTCCAGGGAGCTCTAGATTTAACACTGTGCTGACTGAGGATGAGTGGAAATGCTCCATCACGTTCTCTGAGGAGGTCAGATCCACATGCTGCAAACTTAATCTTGCCAGGCAATTTCTGTAACAAAAATATGCTTGGGAAGACCAGAATGGGCAATTACTTGAGATCTAATGAAACGTGTTTTTGACAGCTTTCTGTTTAGTATTTCTGTGGACATCTTGGCTATACTTCATTATTTTCCCCCAATTTCTAAAAATTGATGATATGGACCTATGCAGTGTATACATCTCCTGGAGAACACAATCTAGGGGGAGTCCTGTCTTGGCCATGAAACATCTCATTGCTGCTAAATCCTTCTGCAGCATAAGCACGAGAATGGAAAGCTATGGAAAGCTCTAGTTCTGCATTACCACACATTTTTGGAACTGAGCAACTTTAGATCTGGTTGCTGGGACGTACCAAAACACTGCTGGGGAGTGCTGATGCTGTAACTACAAGCATGGAGAGATGAAGTTTGATATGCTTAAAACTTGTGTAACAAAAATGAATGCAATTAATGATGCTAGGGCATTTGCTCTCTGTGTACCTGCTTCTGACAGAATGAAGTTCAACGCATCCCTGTGTGAGCTATGCTAATAAACATTCTTCAATTCGAGTTCTGGACAAGTAATCCCATCTCACTGACAGGCCAAAGCACAACCAACTATTCAGAGGTCAAGATAATGTTTCTTAAAAACAGCTCACCAGCTGGAAGCCCCAACAATGGCTTTTGTTAGGAGAGAATAATGAGATGGGGACTCTGCTATGAAGCACTCATGAGGCAGTGACACTTGCATTCTTCTGCTAACAGCTGCAGAAGGGAAAACACTTGATTTCAGGCCAAATAATTTCAAGTCAAAGATGCTGCCTCTCGCAGATAACATCTTGACTTTAGAAGAACTCCAGGAGATGGTTTAGCCTGTAATCACTTTCAGAAACTATTCCTGATGCAGTCTTGTTTACAGGAACAGAGATTCATTAATGAGGGTTTCAGTGTGTCTGGCCTCACGTACTGCTACTCTCTGAAAATGAGGCTGCCAGGAAGGTTTCAGTGCTGCCTGGGGCTAACAGTTACACCAGCAGAAGTCCTCGGATTTCTGGCACTTTAGCTCCTTCCTGCTGCCAAATGTAATAACCTCTTAATGGGCTTTTCCACGTGCTGGAGGATAAGTGGAACAGCAGCCATCGCGCTGCTTATTTTGCTGCTCCGAGTTCTGTGGAATACGTGCTGTTCTCAACCAGTCAATTGACCGAGTGGGTTAAAGCCAGCGAAAGGTCACAGAGGTCCTTTATCACCACAAGCATCTGTCCTAGCGCTCAGAATGTCCTACCTCAAAATTAGCCAGTGACAGTTACCAAGTAATTAGACATTTTGTTCTGGCTTATGACTGGTAATTCCATAAAATCATTTTCTAATGCATTCAAACACTTTGGAAATTTTCTTATTTTCTTCTGTCAATTCTGTAACAGTAAAGCAAGTAGAACTGAAATAACTGTTTACGTGGCTAACTTTTGGGATCTAACTATGTAAACAGTATATTATATATATACAGTGCAGCAACAGACCTTTCTGTTAGCAAAGTTTTCTCGCTGATTTAGATATTTTTCACTTTGTAAGTCTGCAGAGCCTCACAAAAAATGTAAGACTACCATGCAATTTATAATTCCCTATACAATTATATTACTGTAATACTCTCATACTTAGCTAATTCCGGTAGTCCTACTGTTGTATAGTGAGAGCTACTAATTCTTGAAATGCTAAAACGAAACAGTTTCAGATTCACTAGAACTGCAGATTCAACCTATACTGTAGATTTTTTCATGCACAATTGTTTTCATTCAAAATCAGTGACATAATAAAAAGATTAAATGCAAATATGTGCTGTCTTACACAAAGTTGGATGGCAGTGGAAGAGAGTATTGTGTTGAGGAAGTCACTGTGAATATGACCAAAGGCACAAATTAAATTTTGTTCTTACATGGTATCCAAAGGAGCAGGATCTACATCTGGTAAAGATATTCCTTCTTGTTCCAACAACCTTAGCACTTCTCCTATAGGAGAAACACATGTAAAAAGCTCTTGTTTTAGAGATGAGTTAAAACTAAATCCACTAATCAGTACTTAAACCTACATCTGCAAACTATACCAGGGTGCAATTTACACTATTAAAATGAAATTAGATCACAATATGCATGCATTACATCTTCTGTCAGGCTGTAACGGATGGGAGTGGTTGATCGATTGAGTGTCACAGGTCCTTGTCTCACGCCTGCTTGGTGGGGCACAACCAGTTTAGCAATATAAGCCATGTCTGGAGTGGATGGATGTAAAAGAATAGATTAGGGAACTTGATATTTGAAATGCAGAAGCCTTTCTGGCCAAACAAGCTTCCTTTTTTCAACTGAAAAAAAAAAGTGCAATTACTGCAGCATAGACTTATTTTATTGCAGCCTATAGCAGTGAGGTGCAGGCAGTGGTGACTGCAGAGAAGGAGCCACCTTTGCATCAGGGGCGCCCGACCGAGACCTCTACTGCGTGGGGACCCAGGCGACTCCCTCCTGTCATCAATGCTTGTGCCCTCTCCTCTGAGGTGACTGAGGTATGTTACCATGCTTGGGTTAGCTGGCAGGGCGCTTTGCAGCTTAATTGACTTGTTTCTTCACTTTTCTCTAACGGCTGGAAGTCTGTGATTGTCTGTGCAATGCCTCATGCTGTGAGGCTTCCAGAAATTAGCTAGACTATCTCTGGTTCCACTTACCTGTAGTGATTACACAGTCCACATCTCGAGCTTGGTACTCTTGGCTGAAGAAGTCTGGCCTTGAAGCCTCTAGCTTTTTGTCATAACAGGGCATTACTGTTACGTGGTATATCTGGTCAGGTGTTAAGTGCTGCAAGAAAGATAAAGCTGTGCATTGGATTGGTCAATATTAAACTTTTGAGGAAGACTTTTCCAGGTACAGGTGAGAATGGTGATACTAATACCACCATGCCTGTGGAAATACTCTGACTTGAACATGAGTGTTTTTATTTTCCTTTTCACCCCAATTTTTGTTCCTAGCAAACTTCATCTGTATGGACTTCTTTTTTCCTCCCCCTTTTGTTAGTGCCAGGATCCAGACAAAGTCAGTCAGTGAATAATTCCTAATTTATACAGTAAAGAGGATGCACTTCCTATACACTAGTAAAATCCAGTCCCTGCATCAGCAACTAACAAACAGTCAGACAAAAACCTCACGACCATCCAAGAAATGAGTCTAGGCCAAGGAAACAAGTCTCTGACTCAAGGCCATTGTTTCAGTATTTTGTGCCAAGTGCTCTCAGTAGCTGCCAATTTTTGTAACAAGTATGCAGATGTCAGCATTTAACACAAGTGTTAAGCTGGTGCTCATTAATGAACAATAAATCATACAGTCAGAAATGGTGCTTAAGTTTCTTGCTTAACAACTCTGAGCTATTAGTATGACTGTAGTCTTTAAATATCAAATTTGTATCTGGAGAGATTCCAAAGGTTAAAGGGGGAAAGTCAAACTGAAACAGAACATGAAGTTGGGAAAGAACAAGTAATTTTTAGACAAGACATGATCTGCACGTATGCACTGTCTGCAGCTTTGTTTTGGAGAGGGTAATTTGTTTTAAGTTAGTCACCATCTTTAAACAATGTGAAAATGCCACACAGAAGTAAAATGGGAGCATGTTTCTGAGTAATGCACAAGTTTAATAGTCCATGAAGTGTGAATTTTCTATTATTGCCAGCTTCTTGTTAGGTAAAATGGAAGCGAGAGAGATGCTGTCTTTGGCATTCTGCAAGATGGTTTTTTTTCTTTAAATGCTAGTGTAAAACATGGTGCAACATAAAAAAAAAAAATCAGCTTAAATGTTTAATTTTAGCATTTGTTAAGCATAGTGTACTTCAAACCCTCACCTGCTGCTCTGCAAAATGGCCTTTGATCAAGGAGCCCATGACCTGCTGTGGAGACTTGGCGGTGCTGATATAAGGAATGATGAAACTGCCATGGGTTTTCTCCGCATAGCAGATCCAACCTGAGAAGAAAAGTAATTAATAAACAGTTGCAGTAAACAACAACAAAAAAGCATCCCTTTTCCTTTGCCCTCTGGCTTGCTGCTTATTAATTACTGTTTTCAGTCTGATTTAGGCACAGAAACAAAAGAAGATGAATTTGAAAGACATCTTTAGGTATCTTTACAGAGCATTACTGTTAACACCAAGATCCCTCTGTTTTGTGGAGAGAGTAAATTCTTTCCTTACTGGTAAATCTTTCCATATTAACTCTTCTGCTGAGCCTTCTGAATTTTACAAGTATTAGTGTACCACTAGTATGCCACATTACTATTTCCATAACTAATTTAATACTATACCTGGGCAGGCAGAAGCTAGCATGGGCAAAGCCTTTTTGTCTTCAGACTGTTTTTGAAAGCGTTTTACAAACTCTCGTTGGCTCTCCAGCAGGCTGAAGTTTCTTGAGAAGGTTGTATCAAACACATAGTGCACACCTAGGAGGTACAGCATTTGCATTAAAATCCACAAGACAGATGCAAAGAACAAGCTTCAAAAAAGGCCTCCAATCAAACTGGGTTAAAAGAGCCTGTCTCTTGCCGTGCTGGATTGCTGCAGTTACAGTGATATTTTCCTTAACATGACAGCATAAGACAGCAGCAAAAGCAATAGGAGGACAACAAATCATTTAAGGTTGTTCTTTCTGTCACTCTCAGTTTATTACTCCACTGAAGCTGCAGGTAGTTTACATTTCAGGCAGTGTGAACTATGAAACATATATCTTTGAGGTTATTCACATCACCCTTGTGCATTCATAAAAGTTACACCTAACATATACCCCAGCAATCCCACACTTGCCTAAACTCTTCAAGAATGAGGTCAACTTCTTTGCTGTTTCCAGAATGTTCATTTTACATTTTGCAGCTAGGGAAGCTCTGGACTGTGGGGAAACAGATACCACCACCAACTTCTGTTCAGTGGGAGCTGCAGTCTAAAAAAGAGCAAGCAAAATATCTTAACTGTTCAGATGGTATTAATATGGTACATACAGCACTTTTTGTACACTGGAAATTCAAAAATACCTCCCAGTGCTTTATCCTTAGCTTTCAAGACATTAACTTGATACATTAAAGACCCTTTCCAAAATTATGATCACTTGAAAAATAAAAAAAAAAAAGGGGAGGTGGGCATCCCTCCACTGCCAATCTGATCAGATTCTTCCTCCTTGGAAATTAATTTTACGTGCATTGTTCTTCATGCATGTTTTGCAGATATACCCCACCAATCCACAAAGATTTGCAAACTCAGCAGCCTACTTCACCGCATCTTGTCACTTACCTTGTTAAAAGTTAGCATTTTGTACAGCTCTTCATGGCTCTGTTGTGTGATTAAAACACTCTCTGCTGATGTAATGCAGCCACTACAAGCTAGACAGTCATTCAGCGTAATTTTGGCCTTTTCCAGTTTTTGTGCTTCTCCATCCTAGAAAGGAACAGATCTGACTCAGGTCTGATCACAGTACAGAAGCAGTCAAGTAGCTGCTTCTCATCTTTACTATATTCGGTAGCAAAGCTGTTGCTCTTTTCAGCCTCTGAGCAAGATGATGAGGAAGACAAATCTCTGAAGCTTGATTTTTAGTGGGATTGTTTGACAGTATGCACAAAAGCATAGATAGATTCCTCCTAGATATTGAGGAACTTGAGGAAAAAACCAGCAAGACTAAGACCACAGCTGTCATCAACTGCAGAGCAGGTGTTTAGCCCTCAATTATTTCTGCTATCTGGTGGGCTGATTTTGCTCCAAAAAGCTGCAGCTCTGCTTTCCCAGAAGCAAACGTAGTCTGTCTTGTTGGCCTTTCCAACCTGTACGTGGCAGAGGAGCAGGGCTCGTGCGCATGGCTGGAGTGTCACAGACTGTAGCTGCTGCTTCTAATCATAAATCTGCAGACTGCGGATGCCAATCCCTTAAGCGATCTCACGTTGTATTCCATGTTCTAGTTAATGCTGGGGAGAGCAGGTCGGCTCTGTTGCCTGTATTGGATATTGTTCCTGTCATCAAATTTTACTAGAATATTTTTCACAACTTTAAAAGAGATTTTGTAGCCACTAAAAATCAGTATGTAAAATGTATGGCTTAACATTAATTTGGAAGTGACAGACTTAGGAATTCTGTGTGCTACTTAGCAAATCACTTAAAATGTATTATTAAAAAATCAGAGCAAAAAAGTTAAAGAATGCTTAAACAAATCTCCTTGTGACTGAACGCTCCACTCCGTGATGTAGTAAGAATCAAATAATCCACAAATCCAGACACTTGACAACTAATGGCTAGAAGAGAGACTTCCTACCTTATCTGCTTTCACACTGAAAACATCATTAATTAGTGTCTGTGTCTGAGAGTCTAAAACAAAAAGGCAGATATGAAATTAGAAATACTTCTTACAGAACTAAGTAACTAAAACCCTGGCCTCTGGAAAAAGATGTGAGCAGGCCGATGAGAAGAGCAGTAACTTTTGTTATATCTTGCTTCCTTGAGAGGCAGTAAATAGCTGCAGCAGCAAGAAGGTTGCATTTTCTGGATAATATTAGACCATAAACAAAAATGACACATACCTGATTGATCTGAAAGTAGCTCCCATCTGTCTCAATTCTGATCTTAGCTGCTGCTTTTCCGGGTTTTTTTTCAACTTTGACGGGTTTGATACATTCCTGAGGCAGAAAGAAAGCCCAGAAGTGAGCAGCTGGGAAGTGTGGAAGATAAATACAGAAAAAGACAAAAAAAAAAAAAAAAAAAAAATTGCAAAAGCTTAATTGAAACTAGATTGATCAAAAGCCAAGGCTCGTTCATTTAGGCACAGCATCTCTAACTACCAAGGGAAAATGTGTAAGTAAAAACTGCTCACCCCCTTTCTACAGAAAGAACATTTTTCCAGCATCGTGCCGAAAGGAAAAGGCACTTTTGCTCTGACTCCAAAGCAGCCAGCTGTGCTTTAAGGAGCCTTGGGAAGGGCAGTGACCTGCCCGCTCGCTCCTCTCCTCCCTCAAAGCCTCCCGTTCAACAGCAGCTCCTGCCAGTGGAGGGTCTTTAAGCCGCAGGGACGGCTGCCAGTTTTCTGCACTGATGCGGGATGCAGTCCAAGGGTGTGTTTGCCCCGGGGTGATTTTTATTGGTTCAACGCTTTATGTTTCATCCTACTTCTCCAGGCAGGATTCCCCTCGCCTTTCACCATCCTTTCCCGGCCAGAATCTGAAGCACTTCTCCCCCTGGAGTCCAGCTTTAGTTTTTGTTCCAAATACTGCAGAACTCACAGACTACCAGCAACAACTAGTTAACATTTTTTTGCTCCTCGAGTAAGAACAACCCAAAAGACCTTGTTTTTCCAGGCAGAAAACTGGAACGAAGTCAGAGATTTCCCTGGGAATGCCACGTTTTGCGGGGAGAGATCACGGGATCTCTTCTATCCTGTGTCCTGCCCTGGCCCGGGGATAGTTTTCTGCAGTTCGCTGCCAGCAGCCGCCGTGACCCTGAAGGTGCAGCCCGGCCCTGCGCTCTCGGTGTCACCCGCTCCCCATCGCTGTCGCGGCCACTGGCGCAACGGGGAAGCGGGACCAGACACCTTGCCTGGGCTTAAGACCTTGGCTAGGCTGGTTTTGTGATGGGATTGGCTTTGGCGCCCACAAGCACGGCTGTTTCTGTGAGGAAGCGAGCGAGCTCGGGAGGCGGCCCCGTTCCCCCAGGCCCGCGGGGGGGGCTCGTGCCGGCGGCGGCCCCGGCGGGCAGGGTGAGGGTCGCGCCCGCCGCCCACCTGCGAGGGCGCCAGGAAGTCGTCCAGGTCGCTGAGCTGCAGCACGCCGCTGAAGGGCGACGCCATGGCGGCCGCCGCTGGGGCCCGCCGCGCCGCGCCGCCGTAAAGCGACACCGCGCGACGTCGCGAGGGGAGGGCTGGCGGGGAGTGCGCATGCGCGGGGCGGGGCCGGGCACGGGCGAGGGGCGGGGCAGAGCAGGGCGCATGCGCGGGGCGGGGCGGCTCCATGAGGGGGCGGGCGCCATGATGGCGGCGGTTGCTGCGTGTGTCGCGCGGCCGTTAACGGTCCCCGCGGTAACGGCCGTTCCCGCTGCCCGCGCTGCCCCGGGCGCCTCCGCTCTGCGGCCGCGGGGCTGGGGCTGAGCCGGGGCTGGCGGCAGCGCTGGGGAGGGAGCGGTTGGTTTAGGCGAGGGCGGCGGCAGCGCTGGGCCGGGCTGAGCGGGGTCTCTGGAGGAGCTGCCTGCGCCTTGCCCTTTGCCGTCGGTGCTTCCGGGGGAGCTGTGGSAATTGGGGAGTGGGAAGAGCTCCGTAGTACCAGGAATGGTATCCAGGGCTGTGTGTGCACCGGGGCCTGGTGCTGAAGGTGCTCTGGGTGTGTGCCCTTCATGGACATGTTGCCATGGGCATTGCATAGCCTTGACCTCGTCGGCCGTGATGCAGCCCTTTGTGTTTTTCTCTCCATGTTTCCTCTGGAACAAACCTTGGAGTGGTGCTGGAATGGGGAGGCCCTGGGAGCAGGAGTTTTGCTGCTCTGGATGCAGTCGGACACAAGCGCCAGCACTCAGGATTCAGAGGAATGAATTTTATTATTAAGTTGTTGGTGCTGCCATGCAGGTGGTGATCGCCGGTGTCGTCAGGCGGCCGTCGGTGACCGTTGCTGGCCCCGCAGCGGCCCCTGCTCGTCCTGCAGCGTCCCCGGAGAGCCGCGGTGCTGCAGCGTCCCCGGAGGCAGCGCAGGGCGGCGTTGAGCAGGGCGTCGCGCACGTGCGGGACGGGCAGGGATGCCAGGCTGTGCTGCAGAGTGAGCGGGTGAGCGGGCGTGAGGGGTGGGCAGCGAGAGGCGCTCGGTGGCGGCTCCCACCCACCCACCCACCCACCCGCACGCATGTGGGTGCCCCGGGTCCCAGGGCTGCGGCAGCCGCTCCGTGCGCGGCCCTGTGGGGCTGCGGCCCCGGCACCGCGGCAGCGTGTGGGCACGGCCGGTGCCCGCGGTGTCTGCTGGGCGCTGGGTGCGCGCGCAGCCGGCGCGGTGGGCTCACCTGGGCGGCGATGGCAGCGGAGGCGTCGGCGGCGCAGAGGCCGCGAGGCGGGTGGCTCTGCAGGGCGAGCGCCAGCGCGTCGGCCATGGCCACGTCCTCCAGCACGCAGGGCTCCCAGCAGAGGCGGGCGAGCTGGGCGGCGCTGAGGGAGTCGCCGAGCTCCACCTGGCAGAGACGTGGACAGGGGCTGTGGGTGCCGGGGGCCGTGCCGTGGCCGTGCCGGGCTGCAGCGGGCAGCGAGGCCGGGCCTGGCGTGGGCACAGGCGGTGCGGGTGCAGGGGGAAGGAGCGGGGGCGGCCGCGCTGGGGCGGGAAGGCCACATACCTCAGCCATGTCGGCCGCCAAGGCGAGGGCCTCCTCCCAGGAGGTGAGGGCTGCCAGGGCGGGCGCGTGGTCGCGCAGCCAGTCCAGGATGCCGGGGTGGTGCCAGGTGCCCGCAGAGCCTGCAGAAGGAGCGAGCGGCGGGTCAGCGGTCGCCCTGCGCTGTGCTGCCGTGCGCTGCTGTGCGCGGGCGCTCGCTGCCCCGGCCGTGGCGCCCGCCCCGCCAGCTCCCTCCTACCTGTGGTGCGGGGCTGGCGCTGCAGCAGGGTCAGCAGAGCCCCAGGGAGGCCTTGCAGCTCGGCGGGCAGCAGGGCGACGTAGGCCTGTGTCGCGGCTGCCGCCCTGCGGAGGGCAGGGCCCAGGGCCAGGGCTGACTCTGGCTCTGCGCCCGGGGCCCCGCCGGGGACGAGGAGGGTCCCCAAGGGAGGGAAGAGGGGGCGGGAGGCCGGGAGGGTGCCCTGGCTGCGGGGCAGAAGGTTCTGTGTCCCCCGAGGCGCTCGGCGGTGCCGTGTGAGGGGCCCGTGTGCCCTGGCTGTGCTGCCCCGTTGCTGGTGTCCCCGTGTCCCCCGGTGGGCTGTGTGGGGTCCCACAGCAGGGTGGGTGTGCCGAGGGGCTGGGTGTGCTCGGGGTGGGCGCGGAGGGGCTGGGGCTGGGGGCTGCGCTGGCCGGCGGCAGCCGTTGGGAGGAGGCTGCTCTGCGGCCGGGATGGCCCTGGGCAGGGCTGCAGAGCGAGGGGCCTTTGCTGGGCGCTGACCACGGCCCTTTGTGGCTTGCAGAGAGGCCGAGGTGGCCTCCGCGGGGCACTCACAGGACCCTGAAGCTCTCACTGTCGCCCAGTTGGCCCAGGAAGAGCCACACATTCCCCTTGGTGGCCCCGAGGAGCAGCAGTGCCAGCCTGGCGAAGAGGAGCGTGCAGTGGGCAGGCGCCAAGGGCTCCAGCGCTGCCTCCATGTCTCCCATGGCCAGGAGCAGCAGCTGCTTCCTGCCAGCCCAGCTCTTGAGGTCGGCCACGGCCAGGCGCAGGAGCAATGTGAAGAGGAGCCGTGTCCAGACAGGCTCCAGCAGCTCTTCCCACCGCAGGGCCCCATGGAGCGGGGCTGCGGGCAGGGCCTCGGGGAGCGTCCCCGAGAGGGGCAGACACATCTCGGATGTGTCCCACGAGGTTGCCGCTCGGCAGCCCAGAACCCCCACGGCGGTGGGGATGTCGCAGCAGGTCTGTGTGCCTGATGCAGGCGCCTCGCTGCGACGCCGGCCCCGCGCCGCGCGCGCCCTATATCTGGGCTGGCCCTTGTGACAGCGCAAAGGCGGGCGGCGCGGGCGGCCCTGGCACGGGGCAGTGCGGGGCTGGCAGCCGGGGCTCGCTATGGGCAGCCTGTCTGCGGGGCCGCTCTCGGCAGCGCCCGCTCTGCTCTGCTCCGCTCTGCTCTGGCGGCCTCTTGTGCAGTTTGTGCGGGACTGGGGCCGCGGCCTCGTCCGTGCTCGAGGCCTGGAGTGGAGGGGTGCTGGAAGTGTGGGCAACGCTTGGGCAAAGCCCCTGTGTGCAGGGGAGGCCGAGCAGAGGGTCCAAATTCTCCTGAGGATGTTTTACTTTCCTCAAGACAGACTTTTCCAAATGGAAAGTCTCTCCTTTTTGATGGAGAAAATAGTAAGCTCCTTGCCCGATTATTCCTTATTGCAGGTTGTTATCAGAGAAGTGTTCCCAAAATACCCAGAAAGTCCCTTCCCGTTGGGCTGAACGTGGCCCAGCTGCTGTGTGCTGGGGCCTTCCCTGTGAGCAAAGCAATAAAGGCTGAAATCCGTGCAAAGTGTGTGCTCTCCTTGCGGGCCCTCCTGCGGGCACCACCGCTGCTGCTGCTGCTCTGCTGAGGCCTGTGAGGCCTCGGCGTGTGCGGGAGGCAGCCGGAGCGGGCGGGAGGCGTCTGCGGCTCCGCTGCTCGCCGGAGCCTCGTGCTCTGCACGAGGAAGAGGAGGCCGCGTCGCCAGCGGCGCCGGCCGCCGGGGTGGGGGGCCGCGCGCATGGAGGGAGCGGCGCGGGCGGCTCTGCCCGGCCCTGCGCGTGGGGCTGCGGGCCCGGCCAGCTTGGGGCCCCTGGCTCCTGCGGCTGGGGCGGCCGCGTGTCCTGGGAACAGCGCCTGGAGGCCGTGGGGCTGGGGTGGCCGCACCAGGAGGCTCCGCATGGCCCTGCTTGGAGGAGGCCGTGGGGACATCGGGGAGGTCGACCCGCAGCCGCCCAGGGCCCTTCTCCATGGAATCAGCCTGGAAATGGCTTCCCCTGCCCCACATCCCGCTGCTCTTTGGAGTGGTTTCGCCTCTCCTTGCAGCCAGGGTCGTCCCTGTAGCGGTGCCTCGTTGGCGGTGCCCAAGGAGGGAGCCGAAGCCGGGAGCTCTCGCCCAGAGCTCTGTGTGTGCCCGTGTGCCGCCCTGTGCTGGCCGGGTGTAGGGCAGCCTGAGTACCCGGGTGGCCATCGCGCTCCGGTTGCTGCTCCGTGTAGGCAGCGGGGCCATGGGGTGATTCCTGGGGCACTTGTGTGGGAGCTGCCCCCAGCACCCATCTGGAGAGGGAAAAAGGGAAGGGAGGAGGTTGGTGGCAGCAGCGGAGCCCTCTTGGTGTCCCTGTGATCCCCCTGGCTTGTTCCCTGCTCCTGTGGGAAAAGCCTGAGGGCAGCTGTGTGCTCTGGGTGGCAGCAGCGGTTCTCAGTTTGGGTGCGGGGCTGCTGTTGGAGGGGCCGCATTGGGCCTGACGTGGAGCTTTGGGCTGTGGCGGCGCCCAGGGGTGCTGTCCTCGTGGGCAGGACCCACCCGCACTGCCTCCTCTGCCCCGTTTGCTGCCGCCCGGGCCCTCGAGCGGCTCCTCGAGCCCTTGTCGCAGTCAGGAGGGTGGAAGTGGCCCCGTGCCCTGGTGTGCGGCCCGGGCCCTTGCCGCTGCCCCTGCGGCCGCTCCCTGAGGCGGGAGGAGCGGGAGGCCCCGGCAGGGCCGCGGTTGTGCGGTCGCTGCTGCTCCCTGTGGGTGCTCGGGGGAGCGCGGGCGGCCATGGACAGGAGGCATCCTCCAGGAGTGTCCGTACAGCCTTATGTGCAGCTCCTCAGCACACACTAGAGATGTCCACGTGCCGGTGGTCCCCACGCATGGGTCCGGAGCAGAGCTGGGTGCCGAGGGCTCCTCATCTCGCGCTGCCCTCCCGCAGGGGGAGCGCGTGGAGCGCGGGCAGCGAGCGCTCGTCGCGCTGTGGGCACCACGTAGCGCCAGGCCTGACTGAGCGCCAGCCCTTCCACCCCTTGGTTCATCCTGAGCAGCCTCGTGCAGCTGGGCTGGGCTCCTGGGAACGGATGTCCCCACTGGGCCTCCTCCTCCTTCTCCTCCTTTTCTTCTTTTAACGTCATTGACCTTAAAACTGGTCGTGCTTCTTCCTTCTGGCCAACAAGGCTTCTCTTCATGTGCTCGCAGCTTGCAGCTGAGAGCTTGAGCAAACAGGGGTGAGACAAGCTGCTTATTGAACCAAATATCACCTTGTTTATTAAAATCTCTGTAGCTGGCATATAAGCAGGTGTGTTACACCACGTAGGCACATAGCTGCATGTGTGCTGTCCTCTTGTGCAGCCTTTTGAGGATATATGCTGAGATAAGAATCGGTCCCACCAATTTGAAACTATCCTTGTGTTGATAATATATCTACCGGTGAAATCCCTCAAAGCATGCAGCAATAAAGTGCAACTGGAGAAGCTAAAAGCAGAGCCATGCTGGGGCTGACCCATCGCCCTGCCTCTAACAGGGACCCATAGGGTGTGTTTAAGGGAGAAGGAAGAGCAAGAGGATGTCCTGTGTTCCCAGCATATTCTCCTGTTTCAAATGCCTGTGGTTTGGGGAGTTCCTGAGCAGAGGGTGCTGCCCTGTGGGTTCTCTTCATGCCCTTTTTTGTGATTTTTGCCTGTGGGCGGCAGCTGTTTTGGTCCAGAGCAGCAGGAATTAGGGGAAGCCTGCAGCGCGGAGGGAGCGGTGAGCCCTGTGGATTGGTTTGTTTTCATTGAAATCACAGTTTTCAAATAGGGATGTTTGTTTAGGAGAGCTTCCTTGTTTGCATTTTTGCAGAGATAAGGAGGGGAGAGGCCTCAGAGCCTTGCTTCAGTTATCAGGGTGTCTTCCTTCATGTGCCAGCTCTCAGCAAGCCTGAGATTTACACAGTGAGCAGAAAAGGTGAGCCAAGTGCAAGTGATGGCTGTGTCATGACACCTGTTTTTGGGCTTGGAGCCGTTCATACCTTAGACCATGGACTTTGCATCAGCTCTGTCTTTATCCCCCTAAGCCGGCTCTGGGCACAACCCTTTGAGCGGGCTCACCCAGCTGCTTGACTGTCACAACGAGCCCATCCTTCCTTCACCCCACCAAGGGGTTTTACTCTAGACTGAGACTTGGCCTTCACGGCTCTGCCTGTCCTGCTGCTCTGCCCATGCTGCCCTGGGGACCTTCCTCAAGGCTGTGGTGGTGTCCATCTTCAGCCCTGCAGCTCCATCGCGTCGCGATCCTCCAGGATCCAGCGTGAATCCCATCCTGCACATGCAGTGGGATGACCAAACCTATGGTCAAATGTCCTACCTGGGCCTCTTTGGGACAGTGCTCTCTCCTGCTGTTTGCTAACCCTTGGAGACCTGTCTTGGCTGTAAGAGCACGAAGTTGCTCTGCGTGAACCAAGGGGACGTGCAGCGACTTTGGGCTGAGCAGGGTGGGTGCGGCGGGTGCCGGGGACCAGGAAGGGTTTGTCCGCTGCCACACCTGGCTTAGCGAGGCAGGAACACCAAGGAAATCCCTGTTGGAGCTCGGGGAGATGTGGAATGCTTGCGCCATCCCTGAGGCCGCACGTGCGGTCAGGCCAGGTGAGCAGAGGGTGGTTCATGCGCTGGGAAAGGACAGAGGGATGGGAGGCAGAAGGAGGTCTCCTAATCTAGTGTTGAGATAAGTTGTGATAAGTGGAGACAGGTGAGCTTGAAAACCCCGTTACAGCCCTCTGCTGTAATCCTTACAATTTCTCTTGGGTTTTGAAGCATGCAAAACCCTGTAATGGTGGCTTACCTACTGCTGGGTGGAAATCGTTGGTTCCCCTCTGATCTTCCCTGAGCTGCTCCGTCTTCTAGACTGTGTGCCCCTGAATCGAAGACCTTCTTGTCTGCACCACACCCAGCTTTGGATTCCTGCCTCTGCCTGGGGCTCGTAGCTGCTAAAGGATGGACACAAACCTTAGGGGATTCTGCTCAGCCACCTTGGGACCAGAACTAAGCAAAATATCTGTTTATTTACTGATGACAGCTCTTCCTCGTCTTCATGGCCCCTGCTTCCTCTCCCCATGAGGAGGTGCTCTATACACTCCTTAACTACGCATGTTTTCCTGCCTGACACAAGCAGAGGATCCTGGCACTCGGCATCGTCCCCCTCCCCGGCTTCCCCGTCCTTGAGCCAGGCTCAGTGTTGGTTTTTTCTGCGTTTGATGCCTTTCCAGCTCTTGCATTTCCCCTCCCAGTGCCCCGGGGAAGAGGCCCTTTCCCAAAAGGTGCAAGACACTGGGGGTTATGGCATTTGAAACGTGACTGAAGGACCTCCTGTGCGTATCAAGGAGAACTTGTTTGAATTTCCTGAAGAAGAGGCTTCCTACTTTTAACTGGACATCTGATTCTGGCTATTCACAAAATGATGAGGTTAATAGAGATGTGAGTGGCTTATGATGGCTGTCGATGACAGACATGGCAGTGATTGAGTCCTGAGCACCTCTGAGTCACACAAGCTACATGTGTGAGTCAGTTCCAGTTGTATTAGCTCCAAAATAGCTGATAAACACGTTAAATGTTGTACAAAAACTGGGAGTGCAGAGAGAGCAGGGGTTTGGTGCACGGTGGTACTGTGAGTCAACGCCAGCTTTTCTCTGTGCTTTCATAAGCCCCCGGATTACACCTGGGCGTGATGGCACAAGTTTAAGCCTGGGACCTAACTGGCTTACGGAACGTTTTCCCTTGTACAGCATCATTGAAGCTGGTAAAAAGATTCTCAGATCTGAGGATAGAGAATGATCCTGCCGCATTTGGAGAAACTGAGAGTTACTGTGTGCAATTTCTTAGCAGCTGGGGGGCTCAGATCCAAGAGTGCTGGTCAGGGAGATGTCAGGACAACAATGTAATATCCATCACTTGCTAGAACCCTCTGCAGGTCTCGTTTTTATTCCTGTGATTATGGTTATGGTGCAGGGGTCGAGGGGGCCCCTCCGAGCACCTCTGCAGGAGAAGTTTTATGAGTGAGGACCTCGGTGAGGTCCTGAAACAGAGATCCCAGTTCCAAATACCTGTGGTCTGGAAGAGACGCAAGGGAGAGCTGCCGTGTCATCCTGCGTTTCCCTATGTGCCTGAGGTGAGCAGAAATCCTTAGAAAAGGGCCAGGCATTTCAGACTGCACACAAGGCTTCGTGCTGCAGTTTAGTGCAGTGCTCCCGGGATGCATCGTGTGCCTGCCGGTGCAGCGCGAGAGGGGCCCGTGCCCGCTGGCCGCTCTCACCCTGCTCGCCGCCCGCAGCCTCTCCTGGGGCTCTGTGTTTCCCGCCGTGTCCTAGGGGATGGCAGGCATTTATTTGCATTGCCAAACCTTTGCATTCTCCAGGGCTCTTAGGTGTGTCCCGCGCTCCAAATCCCTCGTGTGACTTCAGGAGGTGCTGTGGAAGGAGGGACACGCCCCGGCTTGCTGGGTGAAAAGCGCCCGGGCGCTAGCGGCTCCGCGCGGGTGTCGCAACGAGCGGCTCCTCGTGCAACCTCGGCCGCTGCTCCGCCACCGAGGGCCACCTCGCAGCGAGCTCGGCACGCTCCGGGCTTCTGCACGTGGCCCCGAGCCCTGCCAGGCAGCGGGGACTCCCATCCAGGTGCTTTGGGTGCAGTTGCCTGTAGATTTTTGGGAAGGGTGCTGGCGTGTTGGCTTGTGAGGCAGTCTCCCGAGTGAGCGCCTTTAACTCTGCAAGACTCACAGATTTGTTTGTTGTTTTCTTTTCAATTGGAAACAAAAAGAAAGATATTAAATGATATTTGATTTTTTTTTCTTGACTGAAATAAGGTGATTCCTGCCACGTGTGGGCACTCCGAAGATCTTTGCAGGGATGACATCTTTGTGCTCCGGGCTGGGCTTCCTCCTTTTGGCTGGTGAGTACTGCCGTGAGGGTGACCTGTTTATTGTTGTATTGGTGATCCAAACTATATTAGTTTCCTTATAAACAAGGGGGAAGGACAAAATTAGAATTTATTCTCCCTCTGCCATTGTAGAGCTGTCTCTGTCTCTTCCCTACCCCTTTTTAGAGTATCCAGATGTCTCTGGGAAAGCTGTTCCTCTAGAAATAATCTCATCTGGATCTGATTCTTTTTATAGTCCTCCTCTTTTCTCCCCCAGAATCAATTTTTGGGGGTCCCAAATCAGCATCTTTGTTTCTCTCATAGAAGCAGCACTTTATCCTTCATTCCTCATCAGACCTGAGATCATGTTTGCAATGAATGTTTGGTGACATGTTCTTGCACCAGCCATTGGCTTAGTATATACAGCCTTGGGAAATCACTGTTTCATCGGACCATGCCATCTCTCTCTCTTTTTATATATATATTATTTTAAGTGAGAAAAAGCCTAGATAACTGGAGATGGGGGAAAGGTGGGCTCTCAGAAATACATTGAGCCTGTAGAGATTTTGAGTCTAGCAGTTTGCATGCACTGTCCGTGTTGGAGATAGATGAGGGAGAAAGGAGGCAGGCCCCAATTTCTGAAAGCCCTTGGAACATCTTCCTCAAAGGCACCGATGGCTGATTTCAGCAGGGAAAGGGTGGGAGGTCTAAGCATAGTGGTGCTGTGTTCTCAGAATGAGAGGTTTGTCACAAGGATTAAGCAGCGCTGGGGAACGCAGGCAGTGCCGAGCGGCTTGTGACACGTAAATGTCCTCCATGCGACGGGGCTGCGGAGAGGAACATCTGAGCAGCACAACCTCCACGGGCAGGAGCTGCTCCTTGCATGAACCTTCCTTAATGGGAGGCTTCGTCACAGCCTGGAGGCCATTGCTAAGCACGGAATAAAAGCCCTGCTTTGGAAGGGCATTGCTCCCAGAGCAGTGTCTGCTTCTCCTGGGTGCTCCGTGACACAAGCTGAGTCCATGGGTGTGATGTAGGGCAATGGGAGACTTGCTGTCATACAGTGGGGGCATCTGGGGGGACTTTTTGTGATGTCTTGGTCTGGGGGTTCCTCTGCCCCTGCAGAGGAAGCTGCGGATCTTCCTCCTCCTCTTCCTCGCAGGAGTGTCTCTGAGTGCTGCCCTTTCGGGTCGATGGGACAACCTACACGCTCAGAGCTGAGCATTACACCCGAGAGCTTCCCAAGACGAGGGCTGGGCTGTGTATTTCCAACCCTCCGTCGTGGTGTGAGCAGGAAGCAGTGCTCATGGTGGGAACAGCCCTGGCTTTGTGTGCAGGCAGGGAAGCGTGGCCAGGCCTGGCCTCGGCCCCACGCTCCTTTAGTTAGAGCTTTGCTGCTCTAACTCTTTCACGGCTTCCCCTGGGAGCAAACCCTGCGTTAGGCCGAGGGGAAGCTGCTGAGTTTGGCAAGCTGTGGCTCCTTTGCTCGTTACTTAGTGAGAGTTATCCATTAATTAAATAATTTAAAAGGTGTAGCAGCTGGTAGTCAAAATAGTTGTTATGCTGATTAGAGACTCCTTTCATGCTTTCCTACAAGCTGTTCCTAATGGGGATCACTAGGCTGCTGAACATGCTCACACCCAGACAAGCTTCCTCCTCTTCCTCTCCATCCTGGTTGAAGGATAGGCGAGTCCCATGCTGTTGATTGCTGTGCCCAAATAGTGCCAGGTGTTTGACCGGGTCTCCTTCCCTGGAGGTCCCCCGGGTGCTCAGGAAGGGCTGCAGATGAAAGGGAGGATGTTGCAGCAATAAGGGAGTGGGAAGGTGGCCTGAGCGCAACACTGGGGAGCTGGAAAATCCTGCTGTCCTGAGCAGTGTGTCAGGCAGCCCAAAATAGGGGAAGACACTTGTCATCAGGGGACAATGTAAAAGTTGGAAAACAAGGTGTAGGCAAGTGGGGAGCTTGTTTGGGCCTGCCAAGAACCAGCAGTGACAGCTTCATTTCTTCACGTAAATCCCTGTCAAGCTCTTTGACAGGTCTAGAGTGAGGGCTGTCACACTGACGTTCTCTGCAGGGTGTTCAGCTCTGTGGAACAGGGTGATTTTCATCCAGCTGAGCACTGACAGGGGAGGGGTGCGAAATCCAAGTCAGGCTTGGGTACGCTTGGCATAGTGAGAAGTAGGTGCTACAAATCTAAAGAAACCAAGGAAGTGCAGGCATGGTTTGTCTGGCCTCCAGGCTCCTCACTGACCTGCTGTCTGGCCATGGTGCACAAGGGATATTGGGAATGAGCCTCTGTCCCAGGTTTGTGACTAAAATCATGGCATATTGTCTTCTAGGTGGGCTGGCAGCTGCTGCAACTTCTGCTGGGACACATCTGGTAAGAAAAACTCCATATATAACATACGTATCACCCATGCCTTCACTTGCAAAACGTGTGTGTATTGGTGGTCAGTGTGGACCTCTTTTGTTGGCAGTACATTGATAGGAGTTAATTGCTGCAACAGAAACCCGGTGCCTTGAGCATGGAGTTAGATGTTAACTTCCATCCCTTGTTGTCTCCCAAGTAATGTGTGGGGTAGGGGTGGCTTCTCCAGATGGCCAAAGGGCTTTAGAAGTGCGAGGGTGTCACAGCAGTGCCATGCAAGTGCCATGCATGGACCACACTCACATCACTGGGGAAGGGTCCATCTCTCTGATCCTGATGCCTGAGGAACCTTTCGAGCTGTTTGAGTGCAGAGCCAGTTTTGCAGGTGGCAGCTGCCTAACAGGACAAGATGGGCACTCAGAATCCAGGCACTTGTTTGTCCCCAGGCTGAATCCAAGCGCACGTGTTGGCAGTTCACATCCTTGTCTGTATTAAATGGTCACAAATAATGCTGTGCTGCCATTGCACCGTATGAGATCTTCTCTCCTCTTTTTCCCTGTCTAGTGCTCGAGCAGCCCTGTCGATGGTGAGTTTCCTCCCACCTAATTTTCCCAAGGAAGATTCAAACACAGCTTTCAATATGTGTTTCTGTTGCATTCCCTTTATTTCTGTTTGTCTCTTTCTTTTTTGGGGAATCAGAAGCTGCTGTGTGTGCTTCAGTGGAAAGGTATGTGAACTTGCGACCAGTTATCTCAACAGCACCGCTCTCGGGAACAGGAGCAGTCTGTTAGGGACATCACTTTGGGGTCAGGAAACCTCTAAAAACAGTTGTAGAACCTTTCCCTGCAAGGGCCAGGCTTGTCTGAGGGCTGGGAGGAGGTTGGGGTGCTCAGGGCTGCAGTGAGGGCTCCTATAAAGCTACTCTTTATAGGAGAGTAGCTAATAACTGTCCCCATTGCTGATATTTGAAGGAATAAAGGAGTAAAAGCCTGTCCCTAGCAGCGGGGGCTCTGGAATCATGCTGCGGGGCCCCGTGCTTGTGTTTGCAGACACACTGCTGGTGTTGCTTGCTCCCCCCGCTGCCCTGGGGGCTCAGAGTGCCAGGGAGGTGATGGCTTTGCTTTTTCCTCACCAGTGCCAGCCAGGAGATGCTCCTCAAGATAGCCCGTGGTGGAGCTTCCCCCTGCAACCTCACGTTTGGTCAATACGCTTGTGCACAGGTGAGAGCAGTCTCCTTTTCCATGGGCTTAGGTCACACATACAGGATGCAGGGGCTCTGGGGCCCCTGGAGACCAAGCTGTCTCCCAAACCAGAGCCATCCTGGTGCAGAGTCACTCCCAGACTTGTGGTTACAGGGAGGAGACCGGAGATGTCCACACATCACACCATGCAGCACATGCTCCATGTTGCAAGCACTGAGAGCAGTTGAACCGCCCTGGAGCGTGGCTGAGGCTGTCCGTGGGGTGGGTGATGCTGTCTTCTCCAAGCCTCTCAAATAAGGAAGTGGGACAGTGGAGGCTTCTGAAATTAATAAGCTCATCTGAATGTTGGAACAAATCTTTGCATAAGAGAAACCCAGTAGGATTACTTGCTCCTGAGGCAGTTGCAATGTGCAAAATGTCACCAGGAATATTTCAGATTTACATTCCTTCCTCCTTTGGTGGTTGTCTCTGGGTTGCTGCAAATACTAGTAAACACAGTTGAATGGATAAAGTTTCTTTTGCTTTAATGTTTCTGACAAAAAGATGCATATTTCTTCCCACATATTCAGGGTTTGCTTTTTCAGTGGAAAAAAAAATGAGGAAGTTGTCTATGGAAAGCTATATTTTGCTGAAATGGACATTTTTGGAGGTGGGAGGAGCATTTTGAGTTAAGTTTTTAAAGCCATTCTTGGCTTTGGAGGAAGCACAGATTAGGTAATAGAAGGATCCAACGCCTGGTGTTGTGTAAGGTTAGGTTTGTTTCGAGTCAGTGTAACTCAGTCTTTCTTCCGTCTCCTCTTTCAATGTGTTATGTTGCCTTTTGATGCAAACGCTCACACATAGGAGAGCTGCGGAAGCAGACCTAAAGGAGACTGGCTGCAGTATCTTTGAATAGGACACACATTTTTTTATTTCTATATGGATTTCCCTTTCCTTTTTTTCCAGAGTGCTTGGCTCCAGGACCTTAGGGATGATTTCCTCGTATCCTTATACTCTTGCCTGAGCCCTAAGCCTCTCAGTGCAATGGATGCAGCGTACTCCATTCTGTTCTTTTCCAAGTATGATGCCAACAAGCTTTTAGCTGCCCTGACTACCTTCAGCCAGCAGGTAAACTTCTTTTTAAACAGTGAGGTCACATGAGTTATGTGTTGCTGATTGCCAAGAGGATTGTGCTCCGGATAACGAAGACTGGAGGCTCCAATGTGAATTAGAGCCTGTTTATACTTGAGTTGTACAAATACAACATGGAAAAAGAGTCACTATCTTGCGAGGGGGGTTGCAGCCTCTCTCCGCTATCTGGAGAGAGGGGTTGCAATCATTCATAAGGTTCATATTCACGTGCATCTGTGCATGTTTAGAGGTCTGCATTCACTGCACTTGACGTGTTTCTCCTTGTCTTGCCTTCAGTTTTCTCACGTGTCCCTCTCAGAAGAGTGGAGCATCATCTTTGTTAATGGCCTATGGGAGAAGATGCTACAAGTACCTGGCATTGACAGCCCACCTGTCTTGTCTCAGTGGGTCCACAAGGGGCTGCAGCCATTCCTGGCCCATCCTACAGTCTCTGCTTGCCTCCGTGCCAAAAACGTGTCGTGTGAGGATTTTCAGAAGGTGTAAGTGCTCAGCACAAGTGGTGCTTTTGTCCTGTGCTTCTGGGAGAGGACAGTGACTGTGTTTGCAAAGTGGCATCGCAGGATCGGTAACGCAGTGCCTGGGTGGGGACAGCTGTTGAGAAGGGCAGTCACATTGGTAGATTTCAAAAGGGACATTTTTGTGTGTCATAATAACACAGAACTGCTATTTCTGTAATAATCTGCCCTGCCAAGTTTGGTTTTGGTTTTTAGATTCTTTTTAATCTTTCTATAGAGTTGCCGCCCTGAATAGCATCTATTCTAACCTTCCAGTGCAAGAGCAGAAGAATCTTTACAATGCAATCAAGTACTATCTTGTCCAGGACGGTAAGTGATTCAAACCTACTACCTGCTTTAAGCCACTGATGTGCATTACAACAATAGTGATGTTCTGTTACAGAGCTTCACGGGTTTATAGTGAGTTTATACTGCTTCTTCAGTGCAAATAGAGTAGGACTATGACTCAGAGAGCAGTATCAGGAGTCGTTTCCCCTCCTAAAGGCTGTCTTAAATCAGTCTAAATCAGTAAGGAGAGTTCTGTGCTGTCTTACGTCCTCTGCAAATGGCATTGATTGCTTTCATTATAAAAGGTCAGGGCAGAGTTTGCATGTGAGACCTGAAGAATTCAGCTCGGGAGTTAGTTCAGATGGGGACCCAGGTAAGGCACTGCCCTGTCCTGAGGCAGCAATTCACATGTGTGATCACAGGCACTTAGGCAGCTCTCAGCTGGCTTGTTTCTCAAATAGACTAAAGACAGCTCTGTATTCAGAAATCTCTTGTCTCTACCGATTTTCAGCTGCACTGTAAGTCTGTAGCTTTATGGTATCTGCGTGTTTTGCAGGGTCAAAGCAGAAATGCTACAATGCAGCCATTCCAGGTCTGAATTCCACTGCCTGGTTTAAAAATTACCTGGGGTCCTTTATGGAGCATGCTCCTGTCGAAGACTTGAAGCTCTTTGCTGATGAATCAACAGTAAGTACAGGTTCACAGGGGTGAGGGAAGGTGTGCACAGACAAATCAAAATCCTCCGCATTACTCTAACAACAGCAACAAAAAAAACCCCTCACAACTCTGAAGATGTGGGAAAAAAGGTATTGCTTGAAGTGAGACTCTTCAAACTGTCGCAGGTAATTGCCAGGACTAAGGTATCTTTTCTTTTCTCCTGCATGCTCTCAGCTTCAGCGATTCACCAGGGATCCAGACAATATTCAGATGGTCAGGAAGCTCACTTTGCTCCGGGCAACGGCCGTGTATTACACCTTGCTGCTGACCTCTGGGTCTGGCTTCGCTTTATCGAGGTATGCGATCTCACCGTTCTTCCCGTCTGACTCATGGTTTGACGCGGTACCTTGGCACAGTTGGTCGTGCTCAGTGCTAACTCCCATGCCTGCTCACTTGAGATGTAAGAAGTATGTTTCTGTTTGCGTTTCTAGTCACGTTGCAGTTATGTTAGTGCAGGCCAGACCCCAACTTCCAGCTCATGGGAAGTCATTGTCACACAGTGCAAACCACCGATTAAGACCAGCAGTGGGTCTTGCAGCTGGGCAGTTTTGCAGGACGCAGCAGTGCTCTGTGTAAACAGGAGCCTCATCAGAGCCTAAGCGAGTGGGAGGAAACATGCACTGGTAGGGAGCATCCTCTGGAAAAGAGGCGATGTCTCTGATGGAGACACTACTCATCATACTGGCAATCTCTTCTTGTTTCCCATCTCCAGTCTCCCAGACAGGTTTGTTTGCTACCTGAGCCCGTCTGCAGTGAGCAACCTGAGCAGAGATGACGCTTTGAACTTGGCCCAGAGGATCAGTAAGAACTGCCCCATGAATGTGACACATGCAGGAGAAGACAGGGAGAGACCTCGCTCTTCATCTCTGACAACGGAGGAACTGCAGGTAATATACTTGCCAACCCTGTGAGGTCAGAAAATTTGTGAGGAAGTCTTTTTTTCTTGGTGAAGAAAGAGCTCTAATCCTGCAGCAGATAAATGTCTCGCAACCTCTACAAGTGATTAGGTCCCTGTTGAGCTCAGGGCTGATCTTCAAAGTACTATTTTCCCATTTAATCGATGAGAAAATTAAAGCACAGAAAGTTAAATGATCTCCTCAAACACTGTCAGAGGGAAGCACTTGAGCTCGCTGCAGTCTCGCAGTGAGGAGCACAGAGCATTGGCACAGCCCAGCCAGTTGCGACTCCTGGGCAATGGAGAGGATCTTCTGCACAGTGCAAGTTCCCTTTTGGGAGTGAGGCTTCCACATGGAAGAGGATTCACAAATCTGGGTGCGAGTTTGGATTTGGGGGTTGCCAGGAAGAGTGGGTGGGAGTAAGTGACCTAGTCAGAGGGTTTGGCATTGATTCTTGTGTCTCCTCTTCTGTATGACCCCTTAGGGCATTTTGCTTTTTTCCTGGAGCCTCTGGCTGCTCTTTTACCATCAGTAAAATCTTAGTGAGTAGAGGGAGTCCATCGCAGACTTCACCACACAAACCTATGAAGCAAAAGTCCAGTGATTTAAGACATCCAAAGGCCATGGGATCCAGTAGGCTCCCCTCATTGCTCCTCTGACTTCTTCTGTCTGTCTGGGACCTTTCCAGGTTGCATCCTCTTTGGTGCGAAAGTTTGAGCATTTCCCTCCCGCCGTCCTGCGTGCATTGGGCCAGGCTGCCGTCGGGCTGCCAGTATCCGAGATTGAGGAGAGCATCAGTGGGGAAGACCTTGAAGCATCTCTTCCTGCTCTGAGCAAAGTTCATGGTTGGAACACTGAGCAGACCCGCGCTATCATCAACAAATTGCTCAGCTCTGGCTATGAGGTACAAATGATAAGGTCCATATGTGCACCTCATATCTGTTATAGCTTTGGTGATGTATGGCCTGTAACGTCCTCTTGTCTCTGTGTGTTGCCCTTCAGATCACGGATGGCCAGAGCCTGGCAAGGCTCGGGAGCTTGGTGGCCGGCCTCAACAGCAGCACACTTCAAAGTCTGCCCGCAAAGGTGATTGTGGAAGCCATTAAGTTGCCTGAGTTTGCCCGGCAAACGGCCACCCTACCCTCCGCTCTGAAAGCAGCATTTGTGGAGAAGGTGAAGTTGTTTCTCTCTTTTGGACATTGCAAGTGTACAAAGCCGCAGTGACTCAGAGCTGAGAAGGCTGGTGGGTTACCTGAGGCCAGGTGACATTGGCACCCGCACGCACGCCCAGCCCACATTCCCTTGGGACTGTTTGCCATTGCTAACTAGAGGGTGCAGCAGAGACAGACGTCTCAGGTCCCTGTCACTGTCCCTGTACAGATGTCCTTGGCTGACAGCCACCATGGCAAGCCGAGCCTCCTTGGGATAGTGTCAGAACAGACGGAGCTGCTCTACAGGATGGTCAAACCACTCCCTGCTGACCTGAGAATAAGCCCTCAGGGAAAAGATATTGCCACGGGTTGGACTGAGAGCATGTCAGCAGGGAAGGTGACTGCCCTTTTAGGACAGGCTGATCTTTTAGCACTGTGCTGTGTTGTATAATTGTGTTGGGTTGTTTATTTAAGCTACAAAGTGTGAATTATGTGTGGGGGATTTTTGTTTGTTTGTTTTAGATTTCCTCTGGTTTAGACCACCCTGCTGACCTGGTTAAGTACATCCCTGATGCTCTGGCCAGCTACATTCCCAAATCATTGCTTGTTTTTGAGAAAGAGAAACCTAATATTCAGGATCTCAATCAGAAAACTTGGACCCCAGAACAGGTAATATGCTAGCAGCTTGCTTCCTCCATGTGTCGGCCAAAGGCTACAGTGTCAGCATTTGGCATCATAGGGATATCACTCCACTATACAAACCTATTTGAAAATGCACCTGAGTGTTGCAGAAGAGCTTGGTTGGCCATTGACTCTCTTTGCCTTTGCTCCACAGGCTGCCATGTTTTTCAGTGATGTGATAAAGGCAGAACCTGATTTCAACAGGTAGAGTTTTAATGCTCTCTTTCCACTTTTCGTGCTTGTTGACCCTTTGTCACAAGTGGCAAATCCACCACGTTCAGTCCATAGCAAGAGGAAGCAAATAATATACAAACCCAAACATAGGCAGATAGCCCCAAGGTGTACCAGGGTTTCAGCAGCAAAATACATCCGAAAGGGCAACTTGCTTCCTAAAGCAGTGCTGCTGGCTCAGACTTCACTTGCTTCCAGCTCTATGGAAGAACATGTCAGTCTTGCACAGTGCTACCCCAGGGATTGCAAACCTAGTAAGACTGGTGTATGTTTCCTTAGCTAGCTCTTGTATCTAGGATGGAAAATAAAGCAAAGAATAAAATACCTCTAGGGAACACAATGGAATCAATGTCTGTGTTGTGTTGATTTCACAGTAGGACTGATGATTTGGGGGACTGGAGTTTGGAGAACTTCAAGCTTTGAAAGGAGGGGAGGTTGATGCTTGCAATATTTGCATTATGTTCCTATGACCATGATCAGCACTGCCTTTCCTCCTGACGTCACGTTATCCCTGTGATTTGCTCTCTTTGAATGCTCAGGCTTTCCCAGTCTGTCCTCCAAGGCTTCACATGTACAGCTGTGAATGGGATGAAAACGGAAAGTTTTCGGCAGCTAGCCAAAGCCATGAAGCAGAAGAATGTCAAGCTAGGAGAAGACCAGGTTGGTTACCTTTGTCTCCATCCCATAGCTCTGAATTTCTCTGAAAATCAGTGAAGTAACAGCTCAACAGGCTTGACTTCTCAGGAACCAAACCCTCTGATTTCTGTCTTTTTTTTTTTTTTTATCTTACTTTGGAACAGAGCATTTTCTTTACAGTTGTTTTATTTTGCTTTTTTTTTTTTTTTTTTCTGTTTTTTTCCCTTTGATGTAAACTCTGCTGTCCTTTTAGCTGAGGTGCTTGATGACTATGGTGACACTACAAGGCATTCCCAAGGACTTAGACAGCTATCCTAAAGACCTGTTACTGTTTTTAAGGTAACTTTGCGATGATTTTCCTTTTGCTGCCTTTGCCTATAGTAGGAAATGAGATGTTATTTTAGAAGTTAGCTAGTATTGGTATTTTATGTATGACGTGTGTTCCCAGTTTACTTAGGCATCCTCATGGAAAAAGAAATTAAATTGCGTAATGTTTTCTAAAGGTCATTCAGTTTTAAGGTCTTTTCACACTCAACAAATCGTCACATTAGTAAAACAGAATGAAGAGCCCGAACAATTTTAAGCTGAGTCCCATGACAGATTCCTTAAGTTGAATATGAACTATAAACAAATCAAAACAAACAGACATGGACTATGATTTTTGGGAAGAAATGTGTAGAGTTTAGAAAGAGTTTGTGCTGTGGGAAGCCTTATATTGGACATGGTATTGAACATCATTGAACTTGATTAACAGTCTGATACCGTTCACTAGAATTTATGGAGTATTTGTCTTTCTAGTCCTTCAGACTACGCAACGACAGGAAGTTGTTGGCAATACTTCACTAATATTGGGAAAGCGAATCTTGATGTTCTGCAAAGAGAGTCCTCCCAGCGGAAACAGCTTCTGTTGGAAGCGTTAGCATGTTTGGTATGTGGTCAAGGGGACACCCTTGCGCTAGGCGGGGGAGAACTGGGGGTTGTCCAATGCCAGCAGAAATGCACTGCTCCTTCCTACAGTGGCAGGCAGGTCTGTTTAACACCTCTATTTTGTATTACTTTAGAAAATTTCTGGCACACGAGTAAATGAGGAAAATGCAGAGGTTCTGGGTCGTCTGGTCTGTGACCTGAGTGGAGAATATATTAGAAATTCTGGTGGAATTTTGCTGAAGCAATTAAGCCAGTGTGAATCTTTCCTGCCTGAACAAGAGGAGGCGATTAGGAGTGTTATCAGCAGTGAAAACACTAAATATGGGTATGTTATTGTTTTTTCTCTTCTGGGCATGAGTAAAACACCTCAGATAAAAGAAAGACCTTGTCCTGTTAGGACCTGAATGAACTACAGCCAACCAACTTGATCAAAACCTTAAATATTTTGTTGGCTTTGAATTGAACAGTGGGCCTTTTATATTGTTTTATTTGAACTTTTTTAGCTTGACTGCAATTTTGTATTCAGGCCTCCTTCAGCGTGGTCAGCTTCTACCTTGAATGAACTCAGTGCATTGATTCCTGTGTTTGGTCACAGCATCTTGCAGAAAATCCCCAAGGTGGGTTACAAATAGGAAAGTGGGGAGTTTGGGAATTAGGTCCTGCAGTTTGGAAAGAGCCTAGTTTCTAGGTCAGTGGATCCCAAGTGTGTTCCATGCAGATGAGGGGATTTGTTCAGCAGATAACTGAAGACATGCTGATAAGCCTGGTGCCCTAGGTGCCAGGTGGTCTGTGAGAGGTGAGGGTTGATCAAGCTGGAAATCTGGAAACTGCTGATCTAGATCACTCACTTTCTGAAACTATTCAAAGAGCACCAGAGGTAACTTTGCACAGTGCTTTGTGGGGAGATAAATATTTTTGGAGTGTGAAATAGGATCGAGTTTAAGCATTTAGAAATTTGCCTTTAGCTCACCAGGGAAAGGTCTCTAGATTTATAGCAGGTGGTCTGCTGCCCTTAGTACTTCACCAGTAAGCTTTCTTGACTGTTTGAGTAGCAGCTTGTTCTGCAGGTGCAATCCCAGGATTCGCAACATTTTCTGATGAAAAGTTTTCTTTGCAGGATGTTTTAACCCTTTGGCTGAAAAACTTTGCCCATGATTCATCTCTGTCGAGGGAACAGCTGGCTGTCATCACTGAGGAACTCCTGCCTTCTCGACATAAACGTGCTGCTGGTATGAGAGCTTTTGCTCACCCGTAATGGCAATGTTCCCTTGATGCCATGGTTGGCTCTAGTTCTTGTACTTATCTGAACGTGTCTGACTTGAGCTATGAAACTTAGTGGGAGGTTGCCCAGGAGGAGGGTGGAACTGTAAGTCCTCCCTTGTCCATCTTGAGCAAGGGAACATCCAAAGCTCAAGTGTATATGTAGAACATAGCGAAAGAATGTAATGCCAAGCGCATTTGATTCTTGCTTCAACAGAATGCCCACCTGACTTGAAAATAACACAAGAAGTTTTTGATGATGTGTCAATGCCTCTTTACTACACCCCTGAGCAGTTACGCGTTTGCTTGAAGAACGTCTCTCTGGCTCAGCACCTCTCTAAGATACTGAACTACCCCTTCACTGTTGAGCAGTTAGCTGTGCTGAAGAATCATCTGGATGAGGTAATGCCATGTTGAAGAATGCAGAGGTTGCTCAGGAGCCTTGCCAGTTGAGTATCTCCAAGGACGGAGACTTTACTATCTCTCTGAGCTCCTCAATTCCAATGTCTACCACCTTTACTGTGAGAATGTTTTTCTTAATATGACAATTTTCCTTGCCTGTTAGTGTAGGCATGCCTGAAAAGGGTAGACATGCTCATATATTCTCATTGGCTTTGATTTACTGATTTACTGTTCCTTGCAGACTTTTTATATCACGGACACGATCATGAATTTCCATAGTAATAACAATAGTCTTTCCACAGACATATCCTGATGGATATCCTGAAAGTCTGCTCCCCGAACTGGGGCCTCTGATTTCTTTGATTACCCTTGATGACATTAGCAAATGGAAGATAAATTCAGCTGAACAACTGGCTGCCTTGCTACAGAATCAGCCCCCTCCTGCACTGGTGGGTATTGGGATTTGCTTTCCTGCCTATGTTTGCTTCCTGTTTTGGGAGCTGCTGGTTTAGGACTAACTTAGTGGGTTCAAAGATGGTTGGCCCATCCTTGGTATCCAGGAAAATTAACTTTGAATGTTATTATTGCATTTGTTTCTCTTCTAAGAATTAAAATAAATTTGGGTTCAAGTTAACTTTAAAAACGATATTATATATATGTTTTCAGGCTGCCGCAATGATTAACCGATATGTTTCCTTGGGAAATCGTTTGACCCCCGCTGCGCTGAACGCAATTGGTACGACATATGTGTGCCTCCTAAATGCGACTGAGCTGAACGCGATAGACATCGACAGTTTGAAGTGAGTCCAGAACCGTGACACTCCTTGTCCCTTGAACCTGCTCATCAGGGGCTGCAGATTCCTTTTCTCTCCAGCTGGTGACAGGAGATCTAGGAAGCAACTTCAGTACTTTTTGCACATCCAGTTTAATAGTCATTTTTAGTCATTCATCCTCTTTTGAAAGAGGGCTAAATAAAATTAATAGAATCCTTTGTCTTTACGAACACACAGGCTTGTTATATGCTGTCTGAGTCATGATGGATTAGCAGATATAATATTTTGCTCAAGAGACTGGGCCATTATTTATTCATTTAGATTTTTCCTATACCTCATCTATCCATTGGGGAATGTCCAGGATAGTACTGGAGGAGAAGGTAACCCAGCCTATGCAGAGAAGTTCAGAGAGATATTCAAAATGGGTTAAAAATATTCGTATTTCAAATACCTTATTGAAAACATTAAATAAATATAATAATAAAAAACTTTATTTATGTAAATCTTCGATTCTTTTTTTTCTGCAGAACAGCAGCTCTCGATCCTTCAGCCTGTTCACAGCCTACTAAGGACATTTTGTACAACAAAGCAAAACGAGCTTTCTCAGACCAGCACAACTCACGTGCTTATTATCTTCTTATCAAACCATATCTAGGTATGTTTAAAAAAAAAAAGAAAAAGAAAAAAAAAGGGAGGGGGAAGAGATGAGTCTCGTTCAGATGCTGACTTGGGGGTCATAAGCCATATAAACTTCAGGAACTTTCAAAGCCAGCCTGGTGAAAGTTCAGGAGAGCCTTAATCTTTTCTAACTTAGAGCTGCATAAAATATTCTGGAAAGATTCTGAAATCGACTTAAAATCCTCCAAACAGATTGTCAAACTCTCAAAGAGAGAACTAAGGTGAGAATTTTGGGGTTGGGTAAGATAGATACTGTAGTAAATCCAACTGCATATGCAAGAAGGTTCTCTTTACATTGTGTTCTTAGGCTTACCATAGTCCTTCCCAGTGTCACAAAACAGCTTTTCTGTGTTGACCAGTAGAGTCTCATGGATAGGATATATTCTTTCTAATGTCTGGCATCGATGCAGGTTGGTTTAGTGGCCAACGTGATAAAGTCTCTCTGCAAAATGAATTAACCTCTGTAGTTTTTGTTTGTTTGATTTTTCTTCTCCTAGTTAAAACACACTTTTAGGAGCCCTGAGCTAATAAAGTTTGGAGATCTCGTGAAAGCATCCTCTAACTGCAGCCTATACAAATACACAGCTCTCCTCTTCTGGGAACTGTTCTCCATGCCTTCATGTACTTTCTCTCTTTGATCCTAGGGGGTGCTCCTGGTATAGATCTCAAAGCTCTAGGCAAGGACCGAGTGAACATGGATATTGAAACGTTCCTAAAGTTAAGAAAAGATTCTTTGCTGGTGAGTGTTTCATTCCATGCATTTGTCTCATGCTAGCTGGTTATTTCTGGTCGTGTTGCTCATCGGTGTAAAGGAGATGCAGACGACAATGCAAATGCAGACCTTTGGGAAAGGCCACAACTGGAGGTGTGGTAGCAGGGGCAGCATGATTCTAGCTTTAATTCAGTGTCCTCTAGCCTGGCCTTGTCATTAGAGTACACAGAAATAAACTTTGAGAGAAGCCTTACCTTTATTTATTTATTTAATTATTTATTGTAGGACCTGACGCCTACTGAAGTAAAGGACTTGCTGGGAGTGAATCTCAGCCAACTGAAGACTGTGCAGAACGAATCACCTGTCAGGGAATGGATTCAAAGCCAGAAACAATCCGACCTGGACAAACTGAATATTGGGCTCTCTGGGGGAACACCGGAAGGTTACATCAATTTTGTCACGCCCAAGTTTCAGAGTATGTAGTACATGACATCTTCTGATTGCCTGCCTTCAATATTGATTTTTGGGTTACAGCAAGGAGAAAAAGTGCCCTGGGGGAGTGAGGTGTTTTTTAGTCATTTCTATAAGGGAACTGGATGTAGCAAGCCGAGGTAGCTGCCTGGAAACCAGAGCCAGTCACAGTTGTGTCAAGCAGGCAGTTACACTGAGCAGTGCTGCCAACCAGCTCTGGTCCTGCCCTAGGCTGTGCTTGTGACATGGTCCCAGAGAGTCCTGCTGGCCAGTGCTCCTTCAGAGGAAGGAGAAACGGTGGCTCTGGGCTGCTGGGGACCCCTTGAGTGGCACTTGACACCACATGTCCACCCAGCCCCTCTGAAATGCACTGGGTCGTGCTCATCTCTTCCCCTGCCCTCCTGTCTGAGGGGCAGCAAGTTCTGCTGAGGACTCTTGAGCCTTGCAGCACACTCTGGGTCCGAGAAGAAAGGCAATTCTGTAATCCCACCGGGAACATCCATCCTCACTACCCAAATATCTCCTCTGAGTGAGCGCTTCCACAGCAGCCTGCTCCCACGTGTGTCAGATTTGGGATGTGGCTGGGAGATCCCGTTGTGAATTAGGATATTTTGTGGTCGGGAAGCCCCGCCTAAGGGGTAAGAGGATGATCTCCCCCAACGGGAGAATGATTCACTTGTAGGATTCTGTGCACTGATACCCTCTCTTTTTCCTCCAGCACCATCATCAGCTCCCCTGGGTGCCATGGCCATGGTCTTCCACCTCCTGCCCGCTCTGCTTCTCAGTTTCCTGATGATGTTCATCTTCTCTTGAAAATCTTCCCTCGGGAGAAAGCAAGAAGAGGTGCACCAGCCTGTGACTTGCTCTGAGGCCTGTCGGGACTCCCAGGCTGCTGGGGTGGGGAAGGATGCTCAGGGTAGCAGGCAATTGCTATGGAGCCTGGTGTTCATTTTAAGGCACTTTTCTTTTTCAAATCACTTTTCAGGGTATTTTTTCCGAAGGGAAGATCTCAGACTCTGCAGAGCAGGTGTTTTCTTGTTTGCATTCTGTAATGCAAACCTAATGCTTGCGAAAGGCTCAGTCACATTACTGCAGCACAACCCATGTCCATATTCTACTGCATAACCCTGGGGGTGGGTTAAGGGTGAGCAAATTGGCTCTTCTGCATGTTTATGATTGCATTTCTCAGAGTCTAATCTCTACTCTGCCAGTGGGAGTGAAATTTTCCAGCTGTTTGTAAAGAAATAGTGGAATTGAGTAAAAAAAAATGCCAAAAGCAAAATGATGAGCTGCTGTTGTCTTCTCTTCGCTCACCCGTGACTCAGTGTCTGCAAGTACTGGACAAAATTAAACGGTCAGGGACCCCGTATACCTGCCAGGAACCCCAGGTATGACAGTCACTTTTCTTTGGTGTTGGTTAGTTAAGCTTAGGGGTTGAAGCTGTTTTCAGCATATTTATGGCGAGGGTGTATGTACTTTGTGATGTTTTCGGTAGAACTTTTATGCTCCTTTGGAAACCCAGTTCAAAAACCTTAGTGCAAGCTGTGCTTTGTCAGAATCTGGCCTCTGAAATACCCCTTCTTTCTCTCCAAGAGGAGAGCTTGACTTCAAAGACGTTATAAATGTTCATTTAAGCTATGGTTTACAGAAAGAAGAAAGAGTACACCGTCCTTCATTGCAGGCTCCTGGATGGCTGGTGACACTTCACTGCATCCTGCATCCAAACGGAGTAAATTTAACTCCAGGAGTCGGAGAAACACTGATGATTGCAGGGCCTGACTAGTTAGAACTCATCGCTGCAGTGCTGGGGCAGGAGTTAGGCTGGGAGATCACCCCGTATAAATAAGGCAGTTGAACAACTTGAAGTTGTGCATTTTTAGCAATATTTCCCAAAGTTCAATTCCCTTGGTAGAAATCTCACACAATAAAGAATATCATGGATAAAGAAAAAGGAAAACACAATCTTGATTGATGTTTTATTGTATAGCATTACAACAGTAATCAGTAAGCATTGTCTTCAATTAATCTTCCCTTTAACTAGATTCAGCAGAGTGTGAATAGATCCCTGTCAGACGCTCGTAAGTTCATAAATCAATGGATTTCTGATTGAGCTGTCAGATTCTGTTGCTGCTTCTCCTGCAATGGCCAGTAACTTGGATCCCTGAATAGCCACATTGATTTCAAGCCCCGGTGGGATTGCTTAGAGGTAAAGTGTCACTCCATCGGAGTAAAGCTAGCCCAGCCAGGCCTCCTGTCAGCATTAATGTGCCGCACCAATCGATGTTACTGAGAATTGTATTGTATAGAACAACTAACTGCTAAACACCTTTTTTGTTTTATTTTTTTCTTGGATCTCATGCAAATTAGACCTTGAGGATTTAATGTGAATAAGATCCTGCTGTACCTATAGTAAGATCAATCTCAACCAGGTAAAAGACCTCTGAGTGCTGAAAAGGTCTTAATTATTTTAACAGGAAACTAGCATCTGTAATCGTATTGCTTGATTTTGAGCTGGGCTTATGTGGTTTGGAAAAATACCTGTCCTTCCTTCATACCTAGCTTAAAAAACACTCAAATTCCCTGTTGATCCAGAATTGACAAAACTTCATTCCTTTCCTGGCCTTCTGCCTTTCAGCAGGGATTTTTCCAGCACTGATAATTTGGAAGATGGTGAGAACGGAGGGGTCTGGTGAGCGTGAGCCTGCAGGTGGTGGTGTGGTCAGAGAAGCCCTTGCAGCAGTGACATCCCCAGGGCGGCAGTGAATATGTGCAGTGAGCAGGAGGAGAGCCTGGACCCTGAGCCTAGATGGAGGACAGCGAGGAGAAGGAGTTAAATCATCTGGGTAAACGTAGGGTTACTTTGGGGGTCAGGTACCCCGGAGAAATCTAGAAAAACATTTTCTGTCTTGCATGACATTGCCCAGACCTGCACCCTGCTGTAAATACCAACTTACCAGCCTCGGGTGACAGGTTGATGTATCCCACAGGCGTTTGGTTCTGTGGATGTGGCACATCGGTGGGTTTTTTCTTGGTGGTCTCATTGCTGGTTGTGGTGGAAGAGGTGCTGAGAAATGGTGGAGAGGCTTCAGTCTGGTGAGTCAACGCCGTCGTCTTGACGGTTGAGGAGGTGGCGCTTTTTTGAGTGGAGACAGAGGTTCTGGGAATCGGAGTGGGGTTTTGGGAAGTGATGTTTGCGGCTGTGGTGACAGCGGGCATTGGTGTGGTGGTGTTGAGGGTAGAAGGGGCTGGGTTGGTGGTACCCCCAGGTGCTGGAGGGTTAATGGGCACCGCTGGGGTACTGGTATTGTAGGTGGTGACTGCCCATGGGTCTGTAGCTGTGCTTGGAGCAGTGGTGGTGCCACCAGTGAGAGCAGGGTGGGGAGGGAGGCTGGCTGAGATGGGGCTGGGGTGCACAGCGGTAGGGCTGGTGGTGAGGAGGGCACTAGCTGGGGACTTGGTTGTCATTGAGGTGGTGGCCGGGTGGACAGAGCACGGGCTGGTGGAGCTAGGGACTGGAGCAGGTCGGGTTGTGAACCTGGAGGTGATAGCGGGGCTCCCACCAGTGCTGGAGAGGGAGCTGTGAGCGTGTGGCGGCGTCGGGGTGATGGTGCTTGGGGTGGGGGACGCATGGGTGCCGCTACTGGAACCCAGAGCAGTGTGGCTGTTGATGGTGGTGCCAGTGGGGAGGGCGGTGGTGGCCAGGACAGCTGTTGTGGGGACAGTGGTGGCCGAGAGGGTGAAGGTAGCCAGGGTGGCAGAGCTCGTGGGGCTGGGCTTCACAATCCCCCCTTGCAGGCCGATCCCCAGGATATGGTCCAGCTCCCACTGGTCCTGTCTCCTGATCCAGTTGATCACAGCAGGCAGGTTTTCTACTAGCTTCAGATCAGGGAGGTTGATCCCGAGCAGATTCTTCACATCCATGACAGTGAGTTTCTGCAACACATTTACAACGGTGTTCATCCTCCCAGCTGCCCTTGCCAGACTGGGCAGGAGCCTGGAGCAACAGTGCACCGAGGAACCTACCTGCAGTTCCTCAGGATTTAGGGCAGTAAAGGTGTCGATGTCCATGGCAATGCCAGTTTTAGCCAGGTCTTTCAGGTCTTTTGCTGGAGCTCCACCTTAGAGAAAGCACGTAGGGCACTTAGGCAGCACTTCCAAGGTCAGGAGTGGGTTTTGGTGACTTTTAGACATCCCACATTTGTGTAAAACCTTCTGGCAGAGGAAGATGTTATGGGGAAAGGGGAGCAGGGCAAAGGCTGAGACACTTACCCAGGTATGGTTGAATCAGGGAATAATATGCTGGGGTGCCAGCCTGGCCTGCAAAGGCCTGCTGGGCTTTTGAGTAGAGTTGGTTCTTCTTGGCTTGGGAACAAGAAGAAATGTCTAATGGACCGGCACACCTAGGGGAAGGGAAGGCCACAGGTTAGAGCTGGGGACAACCTCCAGCGAAGACCCCTGCGCTGCTGTGGGGTGGCGAGGGACAGTGGCCGAGGGGGCCAGGAGCGTGGGCTGCCGTGGAGCCTGGGACAGAGGTGGCAGCCCGGGCCCTGCCCGCTTCCCTGCAGAGCCGGGGCCTCCGGTCCCGCAGGGCGGCTCACCCGATCGCTTCTGGAGTTATGCAGCTGATGTGCTCCTCGTCCAGGTTACACAGGTTCCTGCCGCCGATAGTCTGCAGCAAGGGCCCGGTTAAGGCGCCGCCGAGATGCAGGTACCTGGTGACGAGCTGCCGGGCCTGGGACACGCATTTGGAAAGGCCGGGTGAGTCCGGACAAGGCCATCGCTCCTTGTGCTCTGTCCCTGCGTGGCTGCAGGGCGCTCGCGTGCTGGGCAGCCCAAAGGCAGGCCCCTTGGCCCAGGGCTGCTCCCCTGGGTTCCTCCTTGCCCCCCGTGCTCCCTCCTAGGGCGCTCAGTGCATTTTCCTCTCGTGTAATGGGAACACTTGCAGCACCTGCAAATCTCATAGAGAATCAAGGGGGCTTTTGCGTGCTTTGAGGGTCTGCCCCTCTTCTGGATCTGTTTGGGATCCATTCCTTGGTGCTGGGCCAGTTATTGCCCCTGGAGCCCAGCACATTCCCGCACAGCGGCTGCTGCCCTGTCTGCCTCTTTACCCTTTTACCTGGGGAGCTTTCCACGTGCCGAACAGGGGGTTGAACAGGGCTAAGAGGGTGTCACTAGATGTCACCATCCACGTGCTGATCTCCTCTGCGGTGTAGTATCGGGCCAACAGCCCAAGCTGCTTTAGCTGCTCCTCTGGGATGCCCTCTGGGTAAAGCTGAAAGATGAGGGAGGCTCAGAGAACAGGGCACATATCTCTTAGCAAAGCGCTCCTCTTTCCCCAGGGCATGTTCCAGTGGTGTAAGGAGCAATGAGACATCCACGAGCGCTCCGTGTTCCCCTTGGCTGCAGGCACAACACCCGACCTCTCCAGCCCCCTTTTGCAGTTGCTCTCGTGCTCCTGTGACCTTCGGCTCTTTGCTATATCTTTAACTTGAAACTTGACGGTCAAACATCCTTCAAAGCCACCCCCTTAGAGATGGTGCAAGCTGAGGACACCCATCTCTTCAGACCTGCTTAGCAGAGACCAGCCTGTCCACGCTATCCCTCATTTTCTCACCTCTTTTCTCCATTGCTTTCCCCACCACCTCTTGCTCTTCTTTCGGCCATACCCACCCTCCACTCCTGAACTTCAGACTTCTGAGCACCTTGACCTCTGAGCTCTGACTTCTGAGCACTTTGCTAGGCAGGAACAAGCAGAACCCCTCAAAACCCCCCAGTTCCTCCCAAGCGTGTGCTGCATTTCTCCGATCCAGCCCACACCACCCCAGCAGGCTGGTCCCAAGGCAGAGGCCCCTGCGGGTGGCCGTGCCCCTCACCTTGCCCAGCCGCCTCTTCACGATGCCCAGGAAGTCCATGGTGAGCGGCTGGTCCAGCAGCAGCGCCAGGTTGTTTCTCAGCGCCTCGTCGGTGAGGCACAGTTCGAACTGCTCGTTGGAGTCGTAGTAGAGGGTCAGGAACGGGTCGAAGAGGGTGCTGGAGTCGATGGGCTTCCCCTGGCAGCCTGGGGAGAGCCCCGAGGGGCCTGAGGAAGGTGGCAGCGTCCTCTCCCCGCGCCCAGTCCCTCATGGGTGCTCAGAGACCCTCAGAAAAGGCGGATTAAATTAATGGGAGCTTATACCCATGCTGTTGAAATCCTCCTGTAGGATGGGACTGGGAATGACCGTCCCAGCCTCCCGTTTTCTGCTTAGAATCTTAGAATCGTTATGGTTGGAAAAGACCTTCAAGATCAAGCCCAACCCCAAACCCATCCCCACCCTGCCTGCTAAACCTTGTCCCTGGGTGCCTCATCCGTGCGTTTCTTGAGCACTGTCAGGACAGCGACTCCACTGCTTCCCTGGGCAGCCTGGTCCAGGGCTTCCCCGCTCTTTCCGTGTAGATTTTGTTCCTAATCTCTAACCTGGACCTCCCTTGATGCAACTTGAGGCCCTTCCCTCTTGTCCTCTTCTCTCTAGGTACCCTTCCCCTTGAGACAAGCTGCCTCTGGCATCTGGCCCTATTTTGGCCTGTTTTTGCCCCAAACGCTCTAAGTGAGGGCCCTTGCCCAGCCCCGCTCCCTTACCTTCCGCGCTGCGCTTGGCTCTGCGGCGCGGCGGAGGCTCCGCGCTCGCCAAGGCTCCGAGGAGGGCGAGGGATCTCTCCCGCTGGGCCCCGTCCTGGCCGCGGTACGTGGCGAGGATGCGCCTGCGGAAAGCCTTCCTCACCTCCTTGAGGACAGCGAGGCCGAAAGGGGTCAACAAAATGTGGCGTCATCCCAAGCACCCCCAGGTGCCCTGCGGGGACGTCCTACCTCAGCCACCGAGCCCCAAAGGGTCTGGTTCAAGCTCAGCACGAGCGTCCCCAGGCTTTGCAGACTCCTTAAATCCCAGGAGGAAGGAGGCCTGTGGACGAGGGGACAAGGCACGGCTTAGTGCCACCGCCGCAGTGCCACGCCAGGGACCTGCCGGGGTCCTTACCCGTATCCTGCGGCCCCTCTGAGGAGCAGGGCGTTGAGGGCGGCTCGCTGCGCCCCGGACAGCGCCGCGCAGAGCTTCAGGTTCTCCAGCACGCGGGCGTGGGAGGCGGGGATGGTGGCCGGCTCCATGTCGCACACCAGCGCCCCGAGGGCGCCCAGCTGCTCCGGGCTCAGGCCGGGGCCGCGCACGCCCTGCGGAGAAGCCGAGACGCCCATTGCCCGCCTCGTGGCGCGCCGGACGCTTGTCCTCGTGCCCCGTCCCGAGCTGAGCTTGCTCGGCTCCGACTCACCAGGCAGGCGAGTGCCCCGTGCAGGAGCCGCGTCCTTCGGCTCGAGCCCTTGGGCAGCAGGTCGAGGCGGCCTTGAGAAGCCAGAGCGTAAAACGCTCTGCAGCTCTGGTTGTGCACGTCAGCCAAGCTGGGGGGAACACCGTGGGCTGGGAGGGTGAAGTTTCCACTTGGGAACAACCCTCCCTGCCTTCCTGTGCCCTTCTGGGGCTTGGAGAGCTCCAGGAGCACTCCACAGTGCTTCCAAGCAAGGGAAACGGGGCCTGGGAATGCCCTGCTGGGTTAGGTCTGGAAGTGTCCACCGAAACTGGTGGTTTTCCTGGCTTTTCCCCCTGTCCTGCTCCTGCACACGCCGCGGTGTCAGGGCTGGGAAGCAGTGCAGTTGTCACTTGCTTTTTGGAGCCGTTCTACTCCTAAAGCACAACCATGTGCTGAACTTCGTACTCACTTGAAGAAGAGCAGCACGTCGGGTGGGAGGGCTGTGCTGTTGGCTGTCAGGTTCCGCGCCACGAGCAGTTTGGCCAGGCAGGATAGCTGAGAGAACGGGCAGAGGACAGGGGGGTTTCACCAGGACAGCGAGGACGTGACCGGCGCTGTCGCCTTGTGAGGAGGAAGGTCCGGACAAGAGGCATGAGGCTGTCCGTGGGCAGGCTTTAATAGGGTGCAGCTGCAAATCCACCTCTTTAGGACAACCTCTGGGTGCAAGACCCTGGCGGGAGCAGCGGGAGCTTCCTGCCCACGGCCTGGGCTTTTGCCTATCGCTTTTGCCCGCCGTTTCCCTCATGGATTTGTTGTCGCCAGCAGCCCCCGGGGCAGGAAGGGCCCATGTCACCTACCTGGGGGCGGCTCAGCAGCGCTCGGCGGCGCCGCGCGGCCTCGGCGAGCGCCAGGAGCTCGGCAGCGGGCAGGTCGCCGGCCCGGCAGCCCTGCAGCCGCTGCAGGACGGCGGCGGGAAGGCTGCAAGGAGGAGGTGAGTTAACGTTTCCTGCTCCGCTTTCACCCCCTTCCACTCAGCAATGGGGGGTGAAGGACCTCCTTGCATACCAGGTTGCCCAGGGTTGCTCACGAGGAAGCCCAGGCTGCGGTGCCCAGCTTGCCCGCTTTGGCAGGCCAGTACCTACCAGTTAAGCTGGTGTCAGCCCTTCAAAGGGCAGGAAATTCCGGGTGTGTTTGTGCTACGTGAGGCAGCGGATGGCGTGAGCCGCGCACCATGACCCAGAACCCGCTGGGCAAGGCTTTAAATCTTGCCTGGCCTGGCCGGGCTGTCACCGTGGGCCGTGGCGCACACAGATTCCATACCCACCCAGGCCAGACCCCCGGCTGCTCCCCCGAGACCCGGTGCGGCACCTACCCGGCGTACGGAGCCGTGGCAGCCGGGACAGCCCCGAGCGAGGCGGCAGCCTGCGGAGGAGGATGCACAGACGCTCAAGCACCACGAGCTACAAACCCCAGTGACGGCCAAAGCCTCGGGAATGGGCTCGGGAAGTGGGAATGGGCTAAGGCAGCGCGAGGTCCTGGTCAGCCCCGTGGGTCTGGGGTCTGGGCAGGGAGGTGCAACGTCTCCGAGCCTGGCGCTCGCCCAAGGACACCAAGGGAGACCTTATAAGAGCACTGGGGAAGAGGAGCTTTAAAGCAAACGGGCCAGGTAGCAGCTGAGTGAAAACTCAGGCTGGGACTGGGATTCCTAGCCTTTGGATGAGGGAAATTTGGAGAGAGTTTATCCTTAAAGCAAGTGGTGAGAACTTGTTTTTAGACTAGAGCTTGCTAAGTCTGAGGAAGGAGGGATCTTCAATAAGAGTGCGTGGGTCTGGGAGCAAAGATACTGTCCCGCTTTGTCTCCCCAAAGCCCAAGCTCTACACCCCAGCTGCTGCAGCGAGAGGCCTCTCGTGCCGTTCCTCACCCCTGGGGTGATCGGGGACATGCAGCAGAGCGTCACCGGGGGACGAGGTGTTGGAGACGAGCTGGGGAAGGGAGCAGGGCACTTGCCAGAGCATGTCCCCAAGGAGCCACCTGGAACGTGCTTGGTGTGCAGGGCAGGAGAGGATGCAAAAAAGGACCTACCACCGTGCCGGGCTGGACCACGAGGTGCCCCTTCCTCCTGTCATTGCTCCTTGGTGTCAGCAGGACGGGGTCATTCCTGAGGGGTGCAGAGCTGGCCAGCACGTCAGCCTGCACAGCGGGGTCCGTGGTGCCCACAGCCTGGGAGAAAAGGAAGCATTAGGACAGGGGAGACAAAAAGCTCCTCATAAAAAGGAAACTCCCCAAGCGGTGGGAGGATCTGTGGTCACCACAGGGTGGGTAACACATCGACTTTGCCCCTGCCAATCCTCCCTGCTCCTTCACCACAAGTACCTCAATACATCCCCGCTAATGTCTATCACTTAAAGACAAACAAAGGGAAAACATTAAAGAACATTTCCTGCATTCAGCAAATGTAGGGCTTAGCCTGAAATAGAGAGTAGCCTCCTGTTCTGAGCTGCACACGGTTTGTCTGAGCTTTGGGACAGAGATAGGACCGGGACAAAAGGGGACACCCAAGCAGATTCAATCCATCACATTTAAGGTGACTTGGTCCCAGCGCAGGCATTGCCACAACCTGAGCACCATCCCCTATCTTACTTGATCTGTCCTGATACAACCCAGCCTCCCGAGACCTCCCTTCTCCAACCGGCACCCTGGGCTCCCCTGTGCGAGGGAGCAACGTCCTCCCGCTCCCGGGAGCCTGCAATTCCCCGAGCAGCTCCGGCTGGTCACTTACTGCTGCTGCCTCGGCGCGGTCTGCCGGGAGCCCTGCAACAGAGCAAGGTCACGTTATCAAACGTCCACACCTCTATATCCTGGTGAGCGGGGAGGGGGCTGCTCGGAAACATCTCCAAAATGAAGGTTTGGGGAAAATCTTTTCTGTGCCCGTTGGGTAATGTTGGGTAAATGCAGGCGGATAAGAAGAGGTTCAAAGAGCAGAGATCTGGAGCACCCTGAAGCCAGCCTGGATAACCAGGACTTCTTCCACAAGTGGGTTTAAAAGATGGTCAAGAACTTGTCTTCCGAAGCGGGTGTTGGAGTGGGAAGTTTCTAACGCGGTGCCGAGCGCCGGGCTGGAGGGGTGAGGAGCAACTCACAGAGGCCGAGGAGGCCGAGGAGCCGGAGGAGCCGGAGGAGCCGGAGGAGCCGGAGGAGCCGGGCTGCTGGGGCCATGCTGCCTGCCGTCCTGGGAGGGAGCAGAACACCGAGGAGGAGTGAGTAGATGCTCCCGTCTCCCTCGGGTCCTGTCATAGACTTTATACAGCGGGGAGCAGCGTTGTTGTTCCCTTACTGAGAGAATCCCCCTCCTTATCCCACCTCCCTACCCGTGAGCTGGAGACTCTGCATGGAAAAGTCTTGGACTCATTGGGCTGCCTGGTGCCCCCCAGAGCCGTCAGCTTATTGGGCTCCCTCCAGATGCCAGCGGCTCCTCAGCGAGGTCTCCCCGTGTGCCCGAGCCCCCATCTCCTCCCCGTGGGGCAAGTCCCCGCTCCCGTGGGATTTGCGCCGCGGCTCCGTTTCCCGGGGACTGAGGAGCTCACCTGCCGCTCCGGCGTGGCGCCAAGGTCGGGATGAGCCGCTGCTCTGCGCCGGCTCCGCGCCCCGACGGGGTGGGAATGGCACTCGGCAAAGGGGGTGTGACAAGTGATTTCTCAACCTGGTTTCGTTTAAGCAACTTTGGGTGCATTTTTTGCCCTTTTTTTCCTCTATGCGGGGCACTTTGAACTTGAGACTTTTCAATTAGCTGCACTAGTTGGGCCATTCCCAGGCTCCTCGTAGGGACAGATGATCCCTGAGGACAGTGAGAAACGTTTGAACTCTTTAGGGTTTGAGCTCTCTAGGCTTGTAGAGCGGCTGGGCTGCAGAACGGAGCAGTCCCAGCCGAGGGCTCGATGCCCTCGCCAGCTCGTCTCCCCTTGCTCGCTTTCACCAGTGTGCGGGCAACCTCCGCTGCCCTTTCTGCAGCTTCCTACCTGAAATTTTGGGTCATGTGCAGAAGCAGCCAGGAGCACGCTGCCAAGAAAGAGGTGGGAAATGCAGAAAGCAAAGACCTTCCAAGGGTGTCGTGGCAGAAAACCAGAGGAAAGCCTCACGCTCGGCAGGGAGCTGGTCCCAAACCGCTCTTGCACTGGTGTGGATGTATCAGCCCATGCAAACAGTCACTGCAAACCAGGGTGAGGCTGCACACGGGCTTTGCTCCCTCTTTGCAGCTCCTGGTTGCAGTAGGGTGGTCCCCAGGGCTCCGGGGGGTTTTGAGCATCCGTTTGCTCCTCTGGGATCACCAGTGCCTGTCCCCCAGCCCGGGTGTCCTCCCCGCACAGCCCCGTGGCCCGGCCGCTCCTCGGGGGCGAGGCTGAGGAACCGGTCCTGCAAAGCCAGGTGTTGGTCAGCAGCTCATCCGTGTTTCTGGTTACTATTTTGGAAGGATCTGCTGCAAAAATAGCTCCCACCGGAGAGCTGGGATTGCAGAAACTCGCTTGCTATGAGGCTGCTGCCGGGCAGGGCTGCGCCCGGGGCTCTGCAGCCAGGGGTGAAGGAGCCTGGGGAGGACAAGGGGGCACCTGTAGCCTCGGGGCACCGCAGGCTCCTCCGGCTCTGCACCAAAATGAGCACCATGAATTGTGTCTTAGGGTCTTTTCCAGCTGCTTCAACCCGGGGAATGAATTGTCGGTATAAAAGAGTGCCTAAATATTGTGCTTGTCTCTGCAAACCACCTAAACACCCCGAAAGGCCACCAAAGGTCCCATCTGTCCCCCAGGCAGCCGCTCTGCTCCTGATGTGTCTTCGCCAAGTTGCTCGGTGGCATTGACACCAGGCCAAGTTCTTCTTCCTCCTGCTATTATTTGGCTTGGGACAAAAGCAATTGCAGCTGTTGTCACTCAAGTGGGATTTATTGGGCCACTCCGGGCTTTTCTGCTGTCAGGGAACCGAAACCAGGTCCTGCTCGAGGTCTGGGTGCGAACACGGGTGGCCGGGCACGGCGGCCTCGGCGACGCAGGACGGGATCATCATCATTGCTGCTCTGGGGAGGGCAGCGAGTGCAGAACGGGGCTAAACTGCAGGGGCTGGGGAGGGAAAAGGTCCCTGGGGCGGAACGGAGCCAAGCGGCTGGTCCTGGGGCTGCCCCTGCCCAGGGCTGCGGGCCCTGCCGGGCTCCCCGAATCTGTCCTGGGGACAGGGGTGCTCCAGTCTGCCCCCCAGGAAAGGGAAGTGCATCTTGATGTGGGATTAAGGGAGGGGAAAGCGGTGCCAATGGGAAGGGAGGGCTGGAGAAGGAGCAGGGCCAGCGGCACTTGAGCACGCAGGGGCATCTGCGCTGCCTCCCCGCCTGCTCCCTGCTCAGCCTGCCGAGATTCCCTAAATCCTTGTTCCCAATGAAGCTCCTCTGAGGTTCCCCTGCCCTGGAGCCGCCGGCCGGGGGTGTCCGGCTGGGCAACCCCTCTCCCTTGGGCAGCGGGATCCCTGGGGCCGGTGGAAGCCGGTGCCCGCCCGGCAGCTTCGCCAGGTCGGAGCCTGGTGTGGCCGGCCCCTCCGTGCTTGTTGCCGAAGCCCCTGGGTGCACGGGGGCTCCCCGGGGCTGCTGAGCACCCGCGCAGATCAAGAGACGACCAGTTCACTGTGCCGAGGTGTAATGATTTACTGCAGCAACGTCCGCGGGTGTGTGACAATAAATAGGGATTGCTCCGGGATGCACGGAAGGTCACGACACAGAGCAGCGCGATCCCAACCCGCAGCGGGGCTGAATGCACGAGTGGACGCACACGAGACACGCAGGCAAGGATCTACACGGTCAGCACGGGCAAACACACAGCAGCAGCACGAGGGAGGGGAAGCGCTACTGCAAAATGCATCTCCAAGATAAGGAAAATACGTATTATATCTGTGGAAGGTGGGTAAAAGTGCAGCGTGTGGAGGCTGAGAGGGCTGCTGGGCTTCCTCCAGTGCTGCCAGGGCCGAGCCAGGCTCAGCTGCCTGATCAACCCGGCGGCGGGTCCCTTGGCAGGGAAAAAGGCAGGAAAATGGAGGGGAAAAAAGGCAGGAAAAAGGCAGGAACCACTGCTGGCTCCTACCCTGCAAAAGCCTGGAGCCCTCCGGCATCAGGGAACGGCAGCTCCCGGGATGAGAGGGGGCCGGGCAGGGGCTGCCATCGGTGACGGGAGGCAGCTGCCGGGTGTATTTTCAATGCAGCGGGAGACGGCAGCGCAGCGCGAGCAGGCTGGGCACCAGGGGCAATGCAGGCGCCGGGGCTCCGTGCTGCCCTCTCCACACGCACCGAGGCAGCCGTGACGGTCACCCCCGTCCCGCAGCAGCCTCGGGGCTCTCTCCCAGCGCCACCCCAGGCAACCTCTTCTCTCGCCCTTCAAAACCCGCTGCGAGGGCTGCAGAGGAGCAGCGCGGGCGAGCGGGAGCGCAGAGGCAGGACGGGTGGGCTGGCCGAGCATGGGAATGTTCAGGCTGACTTTTCTCCGTGTGCTGCAAGCTCCAGCGCGAAACGCGACCTTCCTTCCCGCCACTCATTAGCCCTCGTGTTTTCTTACAGCTTCAGCCTCTTCTCCCGGCTGGTTGCCAACTGGAAGACCCATCTCCAGCACCCTCTAGTGCTGGTGTTCAAGCAGTCAGACAAAAACGGGCTCCTTGCTCCCTGACAGTGAGGAAAGGCAGAGGGAGGCTTTAACCTTCTGATCCTGCCCCAGCGGGGCTGCAAATGTATCCAGAATAAAAGTGGGTGCTAAGAAAAGCAGACCCTGGTAGAAAGAATAATCAGATCTATTAAAAATAGCTTAATGATGCTGGCTATTTCAGGTACAAGTACTAAAAATACACGCATTTCCGAGGCCCTCGGTATTTCAGAACTGCTAAAAGACTAGATTCTCTTCATAGAAATATGAAAAAAAAAAAAAGAAAAAAAGTTTAAAATCACATAGTATTAATCCATTCATCTTCAACAAATCCTTAAAAAATACCGGTGGTTGGATGGAGCCAGGATGTCGGCAGGGAGAGGGAGGGATCCGCGACCTTCTGCGGTGCTCCGGGGACCCTTCCTGCTCCGCACGTCGCCGTTTGGCCATCGAAGCCCCCAGAAGCGGCAGGAAAGTCACCCTGTGCCCCAAAGCAGCCGGGTGGGAACGCGGGAAACAGCCCCCGGGGCTGCATCCGGCAGGACATTCGAGTCACCTCCCTGTCCTTCCACTGGGAGCTCTCTGGCTTTGCACTGGGTCTGCAGGCATCACCGGCACCTTCCTGGCAGGGCTCGTGTCCGTGCTCGTCCCGCCGTGTCGGAGCCCCGGCACAGGGCCCAAGCTGCGCTCAAGGCTGCCGCGGGACACGCTAACTCTGCTGCGGAGGCACGGAGCGCGGGACCGGCACCCGGGGATCAGGCAGGCGAGGAGGAGCATAAAACCCAAGGCAGCCCCAGCTGCTGATGAGATCTGTCGCATGCCGGGCCCAGGAGTGAAGGGGACTGCGGTGTACAACCAGTGCAGATGTGGTCAGTTCTGGGCTTGGTGGGGACGCTGGCCAGGACCCACTAGGACAAAAATGGGGCTTTGGGTTGCGAAGCGGAAAGGCGAGTCGCTCACTCCAAAGCCCACTCGGCCAACCACTGCTCACACTTGGCTCGCTGCTCCTCCGCCTCCGCACTGCCCACGCTGCCCGGGGCCTCTTCTCTGGGGCTCAGCACCGCGTTTTCGCTCTCTTCCTCTTCCCCTTTCCGGATCATCTTATCCTTCAGCTCTTGGATGGTCTCATCCAGCCGGTGGGTGACATGGTGGGGCACCCAGTTGCTGTCCATGGCGGTGACGAAGGGGTCGGGCGCGCAGACCTCGATGAGCTCCTTCCCGGTGGGGATGCGCAGGTAGTAGGCGTGGAGCATCATCCTGTAGGGGCTACTGTCCTTCTTGTGGCTGTAGGTGAAGTCCCCCACGATGGGGTGGCCGATGGCGCTGCAGTGAACCCGGAGCTGGTGTGTCCGCCCTAGGGGGAAACCAGGAGCGGGGCCATCAAGACCCTTCCCCACTGAGGACGCCGAGGTGCGAGATGACAACACACCACGTGGCATCTGTCCCCTCCGCTGCAGAACAGAAATCCCCCTGAGCTGAGCGTGGCTTCCAGCTCAGCCCTTTGCACCACACAACCACGTGGCAGCCGAGGGCCAGGGCTGCATCGGCAGGACGCGAGCAGGGCCCCTGGTGCCTCTCTCTGCTGTGGTTCCTCTTCCTACCTGCTCCAGTCGGGCCTGGCCGAGCAGCAGCATCAGAGCCGTCTGGCCCTGGCTCCTGCCACCGCTTCCCGGTGCCGCAATCCCGCTTCCCAGTGTCGCAATCCCGTTTCCCAGTGCTGCCATCCCACTCCGGCCCCGGCCGCCAGCCCCACCTGTGAGCGGCTGCAGCAGCACTTTGGTTACGGGGTCTCCACTGTAGGATCCGTATTCGAGGACGATGAGCTCCGACTGGCAGGGCTTGGGGTTTTCACAGCCTGCAAGGAGAGCGGGACGGGGCTGAGCGCGGGGCGGGCGCGGGCGGCGCGCGCGGCGCCGGGGGCCTCACCCTCCGTGCCCTCGATGCACATCATGTGGGTCATGCCCTCGCTCGTGTTCTTGCCGATGGCATGCCGGATCGTCAGCCGCGTTTCCTCCACGTGGCCCCGCACCTGCGGGGTGGAGTGGAGAAACGGGTGACCGGATAAGCCGAGCCCAGACAAGTCCGCACTGGGCGCACGCCAGCGCATCCCGCGCCCGGACTCACCAGCGCCAGGTAGGCTTTGGTCACCAGCCGCTCCTTGAAGCACTTGTAGGCGCTCCCCGCCGCCGCCTTGTTGAGCGCCACGCACAGCGCCCCGCTCGTGGAGAAGTCCAGCTGGTGGCAGAACCTGCGGACGAGGCGGGTGCCAACGGCCCCCAGGGCGATCCTGGCACCTGCCGTTCTCTAGGCTTTCCATAGGCCCCGCTTGGAGGCAGGGCACCAAGCGTGGGCACCCGGCTTGCCCTGCTAGGGATAACCCTGGAGCAGAGAAAGGCTCCCGAGCTGGGTGCAGGGGAGTGCCAAGAGCTGCCCTTCCCACGACACGGATTTGCGGGAGCGCAGGGGAAGGTGCCAAGCGTAGGCCGTGGCCAGCGTGGCCTGTGCATTGTCCCACGTGTCCCCTAGCTGAGCTCACCCGTGCCCCGCTGTGTCCCAGAGCTGGGACAGCCGGCGCGGCTGCTCCTGTGTGGTGGCACCCAGCAAGCTGAGAGCAGCAACACCCACGTTGCTTCTCTGGAGATGCTCAAAACCCGCCTGGGTGCCACCCTGTGCCACACGCTCTGGGTGTCCCTGCTCAAGCAGGGCGGGTGGGCTGGATGATGCCTAGAGGTCCCTTCCAACCTCAACCATGCTGTGATCTGTGACACGGGGCCCAGTGGACCCACCTGAAGCCGTAGTAGGTGCCGGGGTCGGCGAGCTCGGGGAAGCGGTGCTTGAGCTGGCTCTGCAGCGTCAGCTTCTCGTACCACATCTTGCTGTCGATGCGGATGTCCCAGTGCTTGTTGACCACGATGAAGTCAGGGCTCTGGTACAGGATGCAGAGGTTGTCGATGGTGCCCGGCTCCATGGCGAGCGCTGCGGGGAAGAGCCGCCGGTGGCCGCGGGCCGGAGCGGGAGCCGCAGCTGGCCCGTCCCGCCAGTGCCACCGTCCCTGCGCGTTGGGGACACGAGCGGAACCGGACGAGGCCACCGCGGGGGAGGGCACCAGGGCAGCCGGCACGTCCAGGAGGGACCTGCGGAACTGGGAGGGACATGGGCTGTGCGAGGGGGGACCCGGCCCGACCGGTGTCACTCTGTACCGGTACCGCAGCTGCACCGGTGTCATGTGCATGCCGTACCGGCACCACAGCCGGATCGGTCTTACAACGCACCGGCATCACGCCGTGCTGGTACCGCAGCTGGAGCAGTGTCACACCGTGCCGGTACCGCAGCTGGGAGGCTGTCGCACAGTACCGGTATCACACAGTACCGGTGTCACGCTGTGCCGGTACCGCAGCTCG